CTACACTCAAATTAAAGGTCATGCAAGGGAGCAAGCTCCAAAGACGGAGTCATGGAGATTCAAGTGTAGGTCACTGTCGAAGACTAGCCAAAGATAAAATCATGCCTAGACTATTTCTATGTAAGCAAGAGTCATGTGCCGAGTCTAAGTTGTAACTGGGCCACAATTAGTTGTATTCGTCTATTGGATTTTGTACTTCTGATCAAAATCGAATAACTAAGGGGCTACTGTTGAGGGTGTATCATATGTTAGGGACGCAATTACATAGCCTAGGGGGCTTGTGAGATAATGTTTATGACCCATTTGTAGCCCCTAGAGACCTTTTTGTAAATTCAAGCCCCACCAAGGGAAATAATGAAAACCTTCCCTCCCACAACCTCTCCTATAAAAGGGGAGAGAGAGGGGAGGCGGAGGAGGAACTTGGCCCTTGACTCATTTGTCACTCTCTCACTTTCTCTACTTCCATCTCTCTATGTTCGGTTCTAGACCAACACACCTGTAGAGCATACACGACACAATCTCGTTGATCTTCCACTCTAAGTAGTACTTGACTACATCATTATTCATTGCCCCATATCACACAACAACAGTATATTCCCAACGCTTGGGTCCAGCCCATAGCAAAGTTTAGATATCTTAATCAACTCATATAAATAACAAACTAATGTTGAGAAATGTAAAACATTGTAAGGACAGACAACTGTCCTCACTTTGGTATGTAGCAAAGCTGCCAGTACTATTAACATTGTCTTGGTTTTACCTGTCCCTGCAAATCCCTAACCAACATTTATACTTTGAGTATGAGAACAATTTTCATTAGAACCCATTTTTGTTGCAAGCTGATTTTGTGCTTAATTGAGATCATAATTCATAAAGAGATCTGATGTCTTTATTTGAGTTGTATAGATCTAGCAATTTTTTAGCATGTCTATGAACAAATCACCATCTTGAGCAATGTAATATCCATAGCTAATGTCGACATCCAAGTAAAACAGACTTTCTGATGTCATTGGCAAGACACTAAATAGCTTATAATAGGCTGACTGAGAGATAGACTTCAATGATAAAAGTATTCTGGCCCTAGTTTCTTCAATTAGCGGTCTTTTAAAACCTTTTCGGTAATCTCTTAGATTCAAATCACCTTTCTTGTAGTTGCAAAACTAATTAAATTGGAATGTGTAAGTGAGCTAACATGCACGTACAAGGCTACATGAACAACAAATTATGTAAGTCACTTGTACTGATGGTATAATAAATAGCAAACAAAGAGAATTGATTCATCGATAGTCCCTTGCTGATTGATGAATAGACCATGATAGGAGCATGGACTCCAAATCATCATCTTCAATGTCAACATGGCCCAGCACATGTGCATGCTGCTGCACCTCCAAATCTTGGCCACTGCCAGTTATGTGTGCTTGGGGGTTTGAAGCTTGATTAGCGGAGCAATGGATACGTCATCGGCAAATGTTTGTTGCAACATGGTGCTATGGAGCAGAGGATGACGAGACGAGTGAGTGATCGACGGGCATGACAGGGATAAGCACACACACTGAATTGAAGGTCGGCTGTGTGTAGCTGACTAAACAGCCGAGCAGCACTGGAGACTTCTGCTGATGGTAACGTCGGAGCTGAATAGGAGGACCAATAGTCGAGTTCAATGGTGGCGGTGATAGGTGATCTTTCGGCGCTCAAAAGCCAAGTGGTCAGCAATGTATGTTTATGATTGAGGGACCAAACAAGAGATGGGACAACTGGTAGTGGATGCCAATGAAGATCAAGTTGCAGAAAGCACAACGAGAGTTTACATGTGCTGCTACAGATAAAAATAGCACCTTTAAAGAGCCGAAGTAACTCAAAAGGCGGGCCTGATGGTGCGGTGGAGGACGTGTTGCGTGCACGCCAGCAGGATCTCTTCATCCATTGGTCGACGAGCAGCGATGCGATTGTGATGGTATGGGTGGTGACTAGAGCTAGAGAAAGGAGCGCAAAGGCCAGGACTTTGGGGTGGACGATCAAGCCTTGTAGACGAAATGCGCAGCAACATGAAGGGCAGGCAAACCCATTGCTGCTCTCTTCCCTTCTTGCTCACCGTCACCATGGTGGGCTGGGGTGGGGTTTTAGGCTCCTGCCTCCCCACGCTTGTTCTTCGTTTGTCCCCTCTCTTTTTGCCCTCACGCTGCACTTCTCAGCCGCGACAGAGGAGAGGGAGGCACCTGGTCTGCTCATTCTTGAGTCAGACCTTATGGTGTTTCGGGTTTCAAATGTGAGGCTTTTGCATCCTGGAACATAAAAAAATGTGCTCTATCCATTACTAAACTTTTGCAGCCATCTATGAAATAAGCTCTACCCATTATTAAACTTTTGCAGCCGTCTATGATATATGTAATACATGAAGCAATTTGTGGTACACTTATAAACTAGATGAGATGAGATGCATATATACAACTTTTCCTGAAAAGAAATCATAAATATTGTCAGCTAATTATTTACTTGACTTCTCTGTAGGGCGCAAGCTGATCCTATTGTTTACATACCACAAATGGAGGCACTAATTGAGTTGATCCGGTCTTGGTAAAAGGTAAGAGTTGTTTCCTAATTTCATTTCCTAGCTATTTTGATGTGTCTTTCAATTGAACTTTTGAACACATCCTTACATATCATTGCCAGGTTATCATGTCACATCTGCATGCACTGTGAGGCATATTTCAATTAACAGAATCTTTACCTATTTCAGTTCAGAAACTTATTTTATGGCTCTACTACTTAACAGGTAGCTTATAACAATTCTACATGTTCACTTGACACAACCTAGTAAATTAAAATGTATATCATAAGACACAACAATGCCAAACACTTCTCAAAACTATGTTATGGCATATGTCAAGCTATGAGTTTGTCAAGCTTGACCACCAATGTCTCATACACGATGCCTCCTCAAAGTCGTACCACCACTATAATTTTACCATGAAGAAGAAGTCCTCTTTTTACCTCAGGAAAAAGAAAGGAAAGGGGTCTTGGGATTATCATCTCTTTTCGCTGAAGTCAAAACCACAAAGGAAGGAAAAGAAATCATTTGCTACCCACGTCAACGTGGTCACAACAGTATAAACCTAATCTCATGTCATACTTTAAATTCTTAAGCACCATACTTTAGATTCTTAAGCAGCATACTTTAACACAGATCTTAAACACAGATTTATTTTAACAACTTTTGTTAATTGTGTATCTGATTCAAAGATGTATCTATACTATCTTTCAAAAAGGTCATTGGGTTGCCTAAATGTTGCAATCAACCTTATGCACCAACAAGTGGCGGGTATGAGAAGGGACACGAGGACTCGCTTTCCATTTGACACCTTCAGTGACAGTGACTACGAATTATAAGGTATGCTTATTGTTTCAGAATTCTTTCTTATTTTTTCATTACTTTGTTGGGTTGTTTTATCAACTTTAGATCCGGTTAGTCAGAAAGTTTCATGTGAAAGTTGAGAACTCCCACTAGGATTTGATTGAACCTAATATTACTGTTTTTTCTCTTTAATAACTGTTATGAAGTGACTGCAGTGACAACTTTCTAACAAAACAATGTGTTTGAATTGAACATCTATGTAGCCTTGAGTTCATTTTCTGTAGATTTGAAGAGCAATTCTTGTATGTTTTGGGAGTTGCTCATTTTTTTCTCAAACGACGCAGGAGAATTGCGTGTAAATTCATTAAGATAGGAGAAAAAACAACAAGGGAGAAGGCATGAGGCCTACTCCCCGAAACTCCCAACTCACACACCCACACCTAAACTAGAAACTGACCTGACAAGAGGAAAAAATACATATGATCACAACCAAGAAACTCAAACTCATTCGAAGGCGCCATGGCTAATTGGAAAATTATTTGCTTAGATAAAATTTGTTCGGGTTACATTTAAATAAATCATGTGATGAAGCTCATTGATATGCTGGTGAGGTTGATTTGATGGAATCTGTATCATGTGATTGGGTTCTGTATCCTTTCTGTTCTCGGCAAAGCCTACACAATCGGAATGGATGCTTTCCTCCTTTAATTTTTATACTGATGAAATAGATGTTTTCTTCTCCACTGCACAGGAAAATTTCGATCTCATTGTGGCTGCTTCATAGTCGACCATCAGTCTGCCTCCGCCTAAATAACATTGGGGGCACCACGAACAAAAGGATCTGTTTGGACTTCCTGGACATCCGGGCGTGCCTGTACATATAAACTTCTTTCCTTCCTTAATTAAGAGGCAGAGGTCCTCCCAGGTTTTCAAAAAAAAGATCTTGTTTGTTTTGATTTGGAACTATGGAGTTGTTACGTGTGTTAGATGTAGTGCCTCTGGTTTGAAACTATGATACCATACTTTGGCGGCACCTCTTCATGTGTGTACGTTTCCTAGCTGCATCTCGTGTCAAACTTGCTGAATCATCGGTGGGCATTGAATCTTTGCAGATTGCTAACATGCCCGCTTAAATATTGAACTTTCCACAGTAGGTGAACACGTTTCCACCAGGCCGGTTCCCCTCTACCCTTCTCCCTCGGCCTCAAACAGTCACAAATCTGGATCCGTTGTTATTTGCTCAGTTGGTTAAACTTTACCAAATTATGTTCGGAGGCAACAAACCAAACCAATCAAGAACCTGCTTCAGAGCAGAGGAGCTCGGTGTAAAGAGCTTTTAAACCCATCAAGAGATCAACAGACGTCATTACCAACCCAAGAAACCATAGCAAGAGCCGTACCAAGCCAAGAACAAGAGACACCAAAAGACGAAAGGCAAAAATCAAAACAAAGCACACGACACCTTCATCCAACCTATACTTCATTGCCACCTGCCAGCATGTATACATGGCAATTCGGGGTATCAGGTTCGTGGAGCAGCAGCAGTTACATCCCAATAAATCCAGTTCGGCAATTATAGATTAACAAAAGGTCCATGGCCTAAATTCTGCTTATTGCACAATCTCCCACCCAACTGGCGCTGCTTCGATCATGCGATGATGTCATCTACAGGAACCACACCTGTCTGTTTCAGTCGCTGCATCGCCTTCTCCACCTTCCAATGAAAATAACACAATCAAGACTGCACTCAAGCAAATGTTTCCACTGAACATGAATGGGAGAACAATAATGTGCACTCACCTCCTTGTCCCAGTTAGTCCTGACTGTGAGAATAATCAGGGCTATCGTTTGCACAGCGACCCCTATAATTAAACCCCACCATATTCCCTGAACACAAAGACAGAATGTAGCTGATCAGCACCTTCCTCTGAAAACTGTAGGAGTTACTAAAAGTTACACGATTCTATAAGGTAAGAGGAAGTTACAGCTGCTCCAAGGCTTGTTTTGTATCCTAGAACGCATCCAATTGGAAGCCCGATCAGGTAGTAGGCCCCAACATTGACATAGGCAACTGTTGCTTGCCATCCACTCCCAATGGCAACCCCTGAAAAAAATTTCAGAACGGTTTCGTTATGTGCCTATGATAGCGCTTGATGAATACAAGCTAGGTAGCTTCCGTGATACGTGCTTTGCTTTCCATACCTGAGAGAATTGGCTGAATCCCATTCAAGAAGATGCTGATTGCCATCAGGGGCATCAGACTGATAACAGCCTCTATTACTGTTGCGCTACTCGTGTAGAGTGTACTCAGTGGATACCTCAGAATTAAGACTGTAATCGTCGCAAGAAAACTGAAGGCGATGCTCACAATGACAACTACAATGACCGAGAACCTTACTACCTTTGGATGGCCAGCACCAAGCTCATTGCCGACGCGAATACTGTGTAAGAAGTTCATGAGTCATGACAGCATTTATATTGATGAAAGCATATGGAATATACAGGCATAGCTCAGGCATTTGCACTGACCTGGCTGCATAGCTCAAGCCAAGCATGATATTGAAATCCCAGTTCCAATAATTGATGCTGAAACGTGTCAAAGAAAGTGCACCTTTGAGTTATGTCTGAATATGAGTGTATGGTCAGGAAACGGGAAATGGAATATGAATGTACAGCGCGACCCTACCAGATTGAGAGAGAATCAAGTGCAATCTCCGAGTTGGGGAGGAAACCAGTAAGAAGCACAAATCCTTGTACGTACCAGATCTCCAATCTAATTAAGAATGCAGAAACTAGGTATAATAATGTAAACCAGCAAGAAGCATCTAAATAACTAAGCATGACTAGTGCCAGATCGCTCACGCTAGCATGATGGCCGAGGCAAAAGCAAGCTTGGCATATCCCCAGAGGCCTCTAAAGGCGAGCAAGGACAGTCCGGTCCACGTTTCTTTACAAGCTGGGCTCCAGACGATGTAACCCCATGTCAACACCACAAGCACCCACCAAGAGAAGCTCAGTATCAGTGCTGCTCCAAGGAGGCCTAAGCCAAGCACAAACACCGCTAGCCATGAGGCAAGGGTGTGGAAGATGAGCACTGCCAACGTCATGTATGCCACAGGATTGACGATGTTCTGGGCCTGCAGGAACCTCTGCATTGGGCAGAAGAGGGTGAAAGCAAGCAGCTGCAGCAGCAGGCCACGAGCATACAGCTGCCCCGCCGCAGCCACATCCGCCTCCTGCCCGATGAGGCGCAGGAACGGACCGGCGTACCAGTAGAGGAAGGCAATTGGGATAGCCGTGATGAGCTGGAGCACTAGCGCCCTCTGGCACACAATGCCCATCGCTGCATACCTCATGGCCCCGTATGCCTGACCACAGACAGTCTGCACCGCACTTGCCATGCCAATCTGCATTGTGCATGTTGAGGAACAAGCTAAGGGGACGCTATGTTTCAGCAAATGCATGCAAAGGACTGGAGAGTGGAGAGTGAAGGAAGGAAGAAGACACAGTTGCATTGCATACCATGACGCCATAAGCTAGGCCCTGGATGCCAATGTTGGTGATGGAGGCGCCGGCAAGCTCAAGCTCACCGAGGTGTCCGACAAACATTTGCGTGACGAGGCTGAGCGTGAAAGTGAAGACCGTGGTGAGGATGGATGCCCACGAGATGCGCCACAGGTTGCCTGCCTCCCATGCTGCCAGCCGCGCCAGCACGCCCCATGGTACAGGCTCCTGCTGCAGCAGCACCTCCGACGCACCCGATGATTCGTCGATGTCCAGCAAAGGTGCAATCACATTGCTGCCTTCCCCCATTGTCCGTTCTCCGTAAGTTCTGCACTGAGTTTAGAGTTCACTCCATAATGGAACAAGCCATTTATGCTGATACATGCATATGACCTGCACCTAACCTTCCTGGGTCACTGCTACCAGTCGACTTGGTGGCTGAAAAGGTTGGTGGAAGGGGTTAGGTGTGAACATGAAGTGGCAATGCAGCTTGGAAGAGGGCTTTAGTATTAGCAACCTACCAGTCAATGTGTTGTGACCATATTTCATCGGAAAATAAGCTGATTACATACTTAAAGTCTATACTCTACCATGCACTATAGTGAGATCAGATAATCTATATTGTACCAACTGCCTGTACACTGCTTTACAAGAACAACGGACAATAAACCTATTAAACCTTCGGACCTATCTAGCATTTATTTCTCAGGAGTAGGTAAATGGATTAGGTAAATGCTCATGCATTGCAAAGGGAACAAATGAAAATAAGAATAATTATGGTTTGCAGTATGCTGTACCATTAAAAAACGATGTTATTTCTAGCCCACCGTCATATCATGAGTTGAGCCATCACAATTAGCACTGAAGCACACAATTCAAGTTCATGCGAACGGTAGCAACCCACATGAATTAAAAATCTTCTAAAATTCTTTTAATACATGTGGATTGAAAAATAATTTGTGCTGACAATGTGAATTCATTCTATGTTGGCAATATGGAATTCTCGTTCTGCTCATTTGCAGTGGTATGACAATATCCTTTCTGTTACGGTTTTCTGTACAGGCAAATAAATTTGAATAAAATAACATAATGGAACACCTCATAAGAAAATAATGGTACAAAATTTCAGAAGAAAAAATCCTCACCCAAAACTTAGTGCGATGCTAGAAAACACACGCAGTCTAGGATTAAAAGATGAAAGGATTAGAAACAAGTCGGAGAGAGTAATTACATGATTATTAGAAAAACTCCAGCAAAACATTTAAGTCCATGTAAGAACAGTTAGGCATGTGTCTCTTGATTGTCCTCTTTAAGTGAGCGCATTCAGTGGCATCACGAGGTTTCCAAACACTGGTGTCCATTGCATGTATGCCCGGCATTGTTTCCAAACGCTGCCAGCGTCCAAGGAACAGGTGCCTGCCAGTTAGTGTGGGATGACGGCAGATAGAAGCTATCACCAGTGCATGCAGCAAGGCAAGTTTGACAGCTCTCAGATGCCACTGGTTCTTATGCACCTTGATCTGGTTATCTCAGAAGCTATCTGATCAAACAGATCAGGTGATCCAACACCTCTTAACCATAAGATTGCAGGAATGTGAAAAGCTATCAGAAATCTGTCAGATTGCCAGTAAAATACAAATACAATAGAAAGTCTAAGATATAAACAGGATATAGTTCCAAGACCCAGTTTTCCCATTGTACAAGTCGAAACAGAGATGGCTTCTACTTCCTCCAGTTTCTATTTTTTCTTATTGATAATGTGGAGGATTGCAAATGAAGGAAACAACCAGTAAATCTAAATCATGTCACTAAGACAGACCAAAAAGAATGCAGCGAAATTAAGGAAATATTCTGGCTTTTCAAAAGTTCTTGCGTTGTAGCCAATATAAAATTCAGTCATCAGGAAAACCATAAATGTGATGTTGTAATGATAAAGTAACATGTGTGTATTATATATTATTCTAATGGCCTTGCTTTGCTTTTCTACCCCACAAGAAGTTTAGCCTTGAATCAAGTTGTTTCTGGATCTTCAGGTCCAGGATTACATGAAAATTGGCATGAATCAAACAATAAAAAAGATTTAACAGAAAAAATGAACAAAAGCAACGTTTACCAATGCTTTTGTGCCTCAGAATTTGCTTCCTATTTTTATCAGAATACCCTTTCAATTTTATAACAGAACACCTAACTAACCTTTCTATACAGGAAAATTTCTGTAGTAATTTTCCCAGTTCCTAATATGCAACAAGGCTATTACTCCAGTTTTCCCAACTCCTAATTTGCAGCAAGGCTATTACTCCAGTTATCCCAGCTAACCACAGATTCCAATTGCTCCAGCTGGAATTAACTCCCAACTTAGAACTGGTCACCTTGATATTGGTTGACACTAAAATCATGCAGAAGTTGTTTCGTCGTAAACCAGGTTCACGGTCACCTCCTCACCATTATGCATGTTCACGCCTGCAAAGAAATAAAACAAGCAAGATTTGGAGCATGAATACACTGCAAGGATCCATCCTCAGTAGATGTCTAAACCCAAGCCAAATTTCACAGCAAATTGGCAAGCTGTACAGGGGCAAGAAGAACGGTGTCAGTGGGGAAGCACTAAAAATAGAGCTATCCTCCAGTCAATAGAATATGGATGTATTGTGTAACCGAACTATATAGCAGCATTTTCATGCACCAACAGATTGAACGAACAAGATTTATGAGCACAGAAACTGTCAATTTCTAGTACAGATATCCCCTATCGTTCTATCTCCATCTCTCTCTGCCTCTCAAATAGAAATGGGAGATATCAATAAAAAACCGATTATGTTCTAACTTTTCAATGAACGATTTGAAGCTGCAGCTCAACAACAAAAAAACATCATAGCTAATTCTCACCAGTCACCAAACTGAAGATCTGGTAGTGGCACCAAGCTGCATAGATTTTCAGGTCCAGTAAGAGCTGATGATATGTTACTGTACATTTAAGACTCATGAGATGTACCCTCGGCTCGAGTCTCCATATAAGGTACATGTTGTGGACGCTTTCATTGGAAAGCACTATACTAAGAAGAAGAAGAAGAAGGCGTCAGCTGCCTCTAGTGCCTAGAATTAGTCCAAGCTAGCTAATAATAGAACATGCAGGAATAATAGGAATACCACAGCCGCTCATGTGGGTGTTATAACCACAGGTGCGGCTGGGGATTAGGATCAAGCAGAAGTAGAGTATTGATGATCAGAGCCTCCCAGGGAGGGCGATCAGGCTCTGCTGCTGCCATTGTTCTAGGACTAGCCATTGTGATCTTCCCAGTTCATCAATAAGAACTCCCCAGATTACTAGCCATAACATCTGGTATCAGCAAGCCTCTCGATCCTCTCGTCTGCCATAGGTGACGATATCAAGTCCGCTCTGGATGCCATCTTCAACAAACTCTCCACCGTCGAGAGCGACATGACAACGATGAAGGGCGATCAGAGCCGCCTCACCGCCGCCGTCAACCGGCTGCAGTCAGACCACCTCTCCTCCGGCAGCTCCCACAGCGGCAAGGACGCTGCCCACGGCGCCCCTCCACCTCCGCCTCCACGCGAGCACGGCAAGCACAAGCTCCGGTTCCCGCGCTATGACGGCAGCACCGATCCGGTCACCTGGCTTCACTAGGCGGAGCAGTTCTTCCGCGTTGATCGCACGGTGGACGACGAGCGGGTGTGGTTCGCCTCCTTCTACATGGAAGGCGCTGCCAAGACTGGTACTATCGCCTGGAGCAGAACCACGGCGCTCCAACGTGGCCGGAATTCATCGGCGCCCTCATGAAGCTCCGCCGCACCGGAACGGTCGAGGAGTACAAGGCGCAGTTCCTGCCCATGCTCGCGCGTTGCAGGGCACTCCAGGAGCAGGACCAAATCGACATCTTCACCGCTGGCCTCCGCAACCCGCTGCAGACGGACGTCGAGCTCTGACATCCTGCTACCCTCGATGACGCCATGGGCCTTGCACGGGCCTTCGAGCGTCGCTTGGACCTAGATGACGACATGGACCTTTCCGTGTCCCGCACCAGCCCGCCGAACCGGTCGCAGCCGCCGCCAGCGACGTCCGATGCCCTGGTCTCCGCCCCCAGCCGCCAAGATCTTGCCTCCGACCCCACCAGCCCCAACCAAGGCCGCTCCCCCTGCGGGCGCGCGCTTCAAGCGGCTGACAGCGTAGGAGATGGTGCAATGCCGTGCGGACGGCCTCTGCTTCAACTGCCCCGAGAAGTTCACGCATGACCACAACTGCACGAAGAAGGGCCTCTACCTGATGGAGCACGACGACGACGCGCCGCTCGACGACGCCGTGGCAGACAAGCCCGCCTCCGACGCCAACGTCGTGGTCTGCCTCCAAGCCCTCATAGGCATCAAGACGGCCGACACCATGCACCTGGCCGCCAACATCGCAGGCGCTTCCGCCCGGGCTCTTGTGGACTCTGGGTCCACACACTCCTTCATCGCCGCGGAAACCGCACGCCGCCTCGGCCTCCAGCCCACGCCGCGTCCCGGCCTCACCGTGGGCGTCGCCAACGGGGAGCACGTCCCGTCCGCCAGGGTCTACGCCAACGTCCCCGTCACCATCGGCATCGAGGAGTTCCTCATCGACCTCTTCGTCCTGCCCCTCCCCGACTACGAGCTCATGCTGGGCTGCCACTGGCTCCGGTCCCTGGGCCCCATCCTCTGGGACCTCGATTGCTGATTCATGGCATTCGGGCGCCAGATCACCAAGTTTACTTTGGGACGGCGTCACGACCACCGTGGCCCTCGCTCCACGCCATCAAACGCCTGGACCTCCTTCAACTACTCCTGGCTGAGTTCGGCGATATCTTCGACACGCCGTCATCGCTGCCTCTAGTTCGTGCTTGCGAGCCGTTTGAGGTGGTTTATGGCCGACCTCCGACCTAGGCTTCATACCAGCCCAACCTCTCCAGGGTGGCTGCCTTGGACAAGCAGCTGACAAACAGGGATGAGTTCCTAGCTGCTGTCCGGGAATGGCTCCTTCAAGATCAGAGCATCATGATGCAAAGCCATGACGCCGCTCGCCGAGATGTCTCCTTCAGTGTGGATGACTGGGTGTGGCTCCGTCTACACCAGCGCGCTGCGGCGACCATCAAGAGCAGCCAGGATGTCAAGCTTGCACTCCGCTACTACGGCCCCTTCAAGGTGATCGAGCGCATTGGCTCGGTTGCTTATCGCCTCCAACTTCTAAACAAGGCGCGCATCCACAATGTTTTCCATGTGGTGTTCCTGAAGAATTACCACGGCACTGCACCGACGGACATTGTTCCACTGCCCACGGTCGTCCACGGCCACGCTGTCCCGGAGCCCGGACACATTGTTCGCATGCACTCAACCATGGTGTGTGGGAGGTTCTGGTGCACTGGCTCGGCCAGAGTTCCTCTGATTCCACCAGGGAGCTGCTCAATGACTTCAAGGCCACCTACCCCAAGTTCTAGCTCGAGGACGAGCTGTTTCAAAAGGAGGGTGGAAGTGTTGTGGACGCTTTCATTGGAAAGCACTATACTAAGAAGAAGAAGAAGGCGTCAGCTACCTCTAGTGGCTAGAATTAGTCCAAGCTAGCTAATAATAGAACATGCAGGAATAATAGGAATACCATAGCCGCTCATGTGGGTGTTATAACCACAGGTGCAGCTGGGGATTAGGATCAAGCAGAAGTAGAGTATTGATGATCAGAGCCTCCCAGGGAGGGCGACTAGGCTCTGCTGCAGCCATTGTTCTAGGACTAGCCATTGTGATCTTCCCGGTTCATCAATAAGAACTCCCAGATTAGTAGCCATAACAGTACAAGACCATATAATTTCCCTGATTTGGATGCAATGGATTGTTCATTAAAGCTCAACTGTCCTATCAATAAAGACAGGTAATACCAGAGTACTATGATACAAATCAGTTATCTTGTTTTTCTTGTTCTAGAATACCTCTTTCAACAAACTTAGTGATAAGCTTTCCAGCAGCTTGTCTCTCACCCGCTAGGGCCAACTGACTGTCAATCTTTTGACATAATTTAAGATCAGGAATTAAGTTTCTCTGGAACATGCGGCAGGCCACATTATATGATTGAAGTGGGAGTCCTCTATTCAGAAAACTATCCATCAAAATGTGGCATGTTTGAGCATCTCTTTTTGAGGCAGTTCTTAGTACCTTGCTGAGGAGATTGTAAGCCTCACTAAGTTTACCAAATGCACATAGCTTCTCAATGACCTGATTATATGCACTACTAAACCCTTCTTTTGTTAACATCTTATCCAGCAGATTGAGTAAATCTTCCACTGCACCCTTTTCACAATATCTATGTATCACAGTCCTGTATGTGACAGGTGTAGGGAGCAAACCTCTATTAAGCATTTTCTCTACAAGCGCTGTTGCTTCTTTCATTTTAGCTTTCCTTCCTAAAGCATCAACAACAACAGTGTATGTAACAACATCAGGATGCCTGTTGGTCAGTTACATGTCATCCAGCAAAGATAGTGCTGATTCCAGATCACCCTGCCTAGAAAATCCATGAATTACAGTAGTGAAGTTAACAACATTAATGAAGCAGCCCTTGCTTTGGCACTGCTCCATGAAGTCTTTGGCATCTGCAGGTTTTCGCTCCTTGCATAATGCGTGAATCAACAAGTTAATCTCCACTGTTGTGGGGAAGAAACCCTTCTGCAACATCTGCATTACGACATCACATGATTCCTTTAACTTCCCTTCCCTCCGAAATCCATGCATAACAACACTGTATGTGATATCACTTGGAGTCCACCACTCTTCTTCGCTCTTGTTTAGCAATTCCCATGCTTCTGAAGATTTCCCAACTTTGCAAAGCCCATTTAACAGTGCAGTATGCGTGACTGTATTTGGCTTGCAACCATTCTTATACATATGCTTCATCATCTTTCTTGCTTGTTCGAGTTCTCCAATCCGGCAGAATCCATCTACAACCGTACTATATGTTACAACATCAGGGCGGCACCCCTTTGAAATCATCTCGCCTATAATTTCCTTTGCCTCTGCCATCCTACCATTCAAGCAAAACGAATGCACAATCGCACTATAGCCGACCTCGTCAACACGGAATCTTTTCCCCTCTGACTCCCTCAAGAAACTCAACGCCTCATCTGCATGACCATGCTTTGCAAGACCATGAATAAGCATGTTATACATGACCTGATCTGGAAATATACCTGCATCATTCCTCATCCTCTCAAGCAAATTCCGCACCTCTGCCACCCTCTTCTCCTTGCACAAGAAGCTCATCACTGTAAAGTAGCTAACCTTATCTGGCAGGCACCCATTTTGCAGCATTGAGCCGATCATATCCAATGCATCAACGATCCGCTGAGCTCCGCACAATCCCTTGATTAGGCAATTGTACGTGACCACGTCCAGGTCAACCCCAACACGACGCATCCTCTCGGCAAACTCGAGCGCCTTGTCGACACGTCCGGCCACAACAAGCACGTTCACCGCCACGTTGCATATACATATGTCAGGCGCGCACCCGTCCTTCTGCATGAGCTGGAGCACACGCATGGCGGAGCGGAGCTTCCCTGCGCGGCTGTACGAGAGCATGAGGTGCGCGAACTGCTTCGTGCCCCGGCGCATGCCTCGCCAGATCATGAGGCGCATGATGCGGCGCGCTGGGTCGTGGAGCCTGGTGCGGCTGAGGAGCGCAAGCATTTCGTCGAACACCTCCGGGGCGTGGCGGTACTTCCACTGGCGGTCGGCCCAGCGGAAGAACTCGAACGCGGCGCGGGCGTCCCGCTGTGCCTGCGCGCGCAGCACGGCGCGGACCTGCGGCGGGGTCAGCGCGCGGAGGAGGTGCCGAAGCTGCGCCTCCAGCTTGGCGCTCCACGAGTCCCGGAGCTCAAGCAGCCTGCAGGTGTCGCGCACGAGGCGGCTGCGCAACTCCTCCGCGAGGTCATCTTCAAGGGGAGTCTCGTTTGCGGCGGGAGCCGGCGCGATCTCACCGGCGGCAGTAGAGGATGTGGCGGCGGCGCAGAGCCGGTTGGGATGGAGGAGGAGGCGGCATCGGCGCGGGAGCAATGGGTTGTTGGTTAGGTTCCTGATCATGGCGTGTGCTCGTGCATGTGAGAGGCCAGCGCCTGGGAATCTGGGATTATGTTAGTAGTCGGCAATGGCCGGAGGATGCCGCCGGCGGCCGCCGCCACGAGCGGAGTCAGTTGGGTAGCAGAAGCAGCAGTGGGTCAGGTCAATTTTGCTGAAATGTCCATTCATTGTAAGAAATTTCGGGATTAGACATTTAGGAGTAGTACAGTTTATATGACATATAAGAACAATTTTTTTTTTTTTTTTTTTTGCTTAGAAGCCAAATTAAATCCATAATAACGAGATCGTACATTTGGTCTCCACCTAACACCTAACATATACTCTATCTAATCCTAATATTACTTCATTTTGACCAAGACAGACAAGAAGACGAGGGATACAACAACACAAGGCTGCTGAAATGCTCATCAAACGTGATAAAGAGGCCAAATGATATAGTAGAGCTTTCGTGTATTTATAGTGGGTTTAATTTAAATGAAAAACTATATAGACTTATATTTAAGTTTGGAAAATAATAAAATGTATGATCACTCTCTTTGTAAACTAGAAATGTATCCTTTTATTTTATATATATATTTTACAAAGTGTGATGATTTTTTTCTTTCCATTCTCCCTTTTTTGGGTTTTTTGGATTGGTGCCCTTACAATTCTTGAAGATCTAAAATATACCATTACTATTCGTCTATCCAGAAGCGTGCCATTACAATTTTGACGTACTCTGAAATATGCCATTATGTATGCGAGACAAACGTTTAGGCCCGCCTGTAGGCTTACATAGCATACGGTCGACCGTATCCGTCCGTCTCCCGTCTTCATCTAAACGGCGCGGTGAATATCGCCGTCTTCCCCTCTCTGTCACTCTCGCTCTCTCTGTGTCTCCCCAAACCAAGAACCCTAACGAGGCGCTGGTGGTGGCGACGAACCCGACGGCGGTGCAGCAGGCCAAGGAGATGACGCAAGGGGGTCCGTCGAAGGGAGGCGATGGAGTAGCGTGCGGGTCAATGGCAGACGCGGGCCCGCGTGGGTCGCCGCAGATGGAGGACGGCAACGAAAGGTACTTTTCTCTCCTTGCTGCGCACACAACCGAGTAGATTAGACCTCGATTTATGCATTGGCGTTAGTGAAGTGTAGATTTTGATGTGATTTGGTTGATGCTAGGGTTCCACTATTTTCGCTAGAGATTAAAGTGAAAGCATTCTATACGACATAGCTCTTTGGGTAGGAAAGCTTACACAAAGGGCTCTGTGATTAAGTGGGATGTGGAGATAGGCTCGTTTTCCTTGATTTACTGATGACCAGCTTGAGCAATGTTGTCAAATGGTCTCCTACTTAGTGTCCTGTTGTTTGGTTCTTTGACAAAAGGGTATGTGAAGATGTCAGACTAGAAAACTAGTTCCAGATGAATGACATGTTTGAGATGTATAAGGAACAGATGAGTTGCCAGATTGTTGCAGGAGTGTTTGACAAATCTATGTGCCCTGTTGATGAATTTGCTGCACTAGAGCCTTTATGTATGATTCCTCCTGACATTTGCACTGGCAACCCAAACCCTGCTGATAGTAATGTTAACCAGCCTACATCAAAGGCAGATGATGCACCAGAGGTTCCCATGGAGACTGAAGTTAAGCCTGACAGGGAGCCAGATATGTTTGATAATCCTGAAGAGTATGTGGATTATGACGATGAGGGGATGTACATGCCAATACCACCTACACAGCCACCTAGCAGTTCACAACCTCATAGTAATTCACCTCCACCTTATTCTCATGATGCTGAAATGATAATGCTGATCCTTTTCATGTTGAGGCAGAGGTCACTGATGCAGACCCTAAAGAGATACATGCCATCCATGACCCAAAAAATCCCAAGATTGTGAAGGGGAAGTTATTTCTTGATATTTTAGCATTCAGGAAAGCTATCAGGCATTATGCTGTGACTAAAGGCTTTGAGTTAGCTGATATGAAAACAGACCCAACAAGATTTATTACTAGGTGCAAAGCTGAGGGATGTCCTTGGCGCATTCATGCATCTAGGATACATGACCGCAAGACAATAAAGGTAAGTGGTTGTGCACTAGTTCATTTGTTTTTTTGTTTGCTTTACCTGACTTTGTTTTGTATGTGTAGATCAAAGTACTGCCAGCAAAGCATAATTGTCCAAGTATAAAACTTAGAGAAGGAAAGATAGCAACACAGGACTGGTGTGCAGACAGGTTGGGAGATTGGCTCAAGAAAAATCCAACAAAAGGTCCAAGTGATTGCAAGGATAAGTTGGAAGGTGACTATGGCATCAAGCTAAAGTATTCAAAGGCTTGGTCAGGTATGAAGGTAGCATTAGAACAAATTCATGGTAAATATGAGGAAAGTTTTCAATTGTTATTCAATTGGGCTACTCAGATTGAAAAGGTGTCTCCTGGTAGCTTAATAGAGATAGAGCTTGAGAAGGTTGGTAAGAACAGGTTTAAGAGGATTTTTATTGCTCTCAAGCCTTGTTGTCAAACTTGGCTTCAAAGTGTACCCTTCACTGCTAGGAAGAAGAGTAGGCAGACCAAGGGTTGTCAGAATTAGAGGGTACCTAGAGAAGAGAGCCACAAAGAAGAAGGTAAAGTGCAAAAGATGTGGTGACTTTGGGCATTTTGCCAGACCTGTAAGGAGGCAGAGCTAGGAGAAGATGGAGAAAGAGGACAAGGGTCTTCAAAAAGATATTACAACTACTTCTGTGTTGCCATTTTGCTCCAACTTGTCACTTGCCAAAACTAACAAAGTTACTATTGTGTTTGCAAAGCAGGAAGAGGCCAACAGAAGATGATGCTGGACCTTTCCAGGTGAAGAAGAAAAAGTTTCAGAAGAAGAAGATTAGTACTAAAAAGAAGAAGACTCCTATCAAAAAGAAGATAAAGAAGGTAGCAGCTGCTCTACCAACAACTGTTGTCAACAGCATCAGGCAACTAGTCTTTGATGCTCCACAACCGACTAATCCTTGATGGCTAGATTCTCCAATGCTTGATGGACAACATCAACAGCTTTTGTGAACATTGTGGCCTTCTTACTATAGTCTGTAATGTGGCCTGCTTTTAATCAATCTGTAATGAAGCCTACTAGTGAATTATAGTCTGTAACGTGGCCTACTAGTGAACAATATGTAATGTGCCACTTCTATGTCGTGCTAGTGACTGTAGTCTGTAACGTGGCACTTGGACTTGTCAACTTTCTCATCTGTTGTTGTTAGTCTACTTTCTATGGATATTCAATGCAAACTTGGTTATGAAATGCTGTTTCAACTATATTCTATTGTCACAACTGTTTATCTGGACATGTGTTTGGTACTCTCCTGTCATGTGCCATCTGGGCATTAAAATGTTTCAAAAATCAATACAAGATGCTGCTCGAATTTTTTCCTAATTTCATACAGAAATACATAGCACACTGCTCATCAAATTCAGGCAACAAAGAAACAAATTTGGGCAACATTCATCCATCCATTTTCATTCTTTGTCAGTACAAAGAAACTACATTACAGTCACTTCATCATCTGGGCAACAACTACACCTAGCAGTAGACCAACAAGGACACCTACCACAACAGATACATCCATCACAATCTGCATTTCCCTATTACCTAATTCCTCCCTTGCATTACTAATTCGGCTAGGATCACTAACTGGACTATGATCGGCTGTAGGTCTGTCTCCAATTTATATCTTCAATTTCTAAAGTTCAGAGACTACATTGTCCAGTATTTACTTCATGTCACCAAGCTGCTGCTTCAAATCACCAATAACATCTCCACCAACTGAATCAAGGGGCGATTGGAGCAGCATCTGCTTCTCCTTTGCTTGCTTCCGAAACCAGGCCTCGTACTGCTCCTCTGAACGAATCCAGCCATAGGTTGTTGGATCACCCTACGAAACCCTAAACCCGTCAAATTGAAACCAAATCACGAAGATTCAATAAACACTACAAATCCTTACATTTACGTTGTTGGGGCACTTGACAAATGACTCATTCATCGAGTGCTCTTGCTTGCTCACGATTTGGATGAGAGGAACATGGCAATTAGGGCAGTCTAGTAGGGGGTAGTGCCCCCTTCTGCTGCCAGCAGCGATGGAGCTCGAGCTCATCTAGACCCCCTTGCGCCTGTCTCCTTGGCTTGCTGCGCCACTGTCAAGTTCATCGCCGCCACCGCCGTCGGAGTCGCCGCCACCAGCGCCTCGTTAGGGTTCTTGGTTTGGGGAGAGACAAAGAAAGCGAGAGTGATAGAGAGGGGAAGACGGCGATATTCACAGCGCCATTTAGATGAAGATGGGAGACGGATGGATACGGTCGACCGTATGCCACGTAAGCCTGCAGGTGGGCCCAAATGTTTGTCTCGTGTACAGAATGACATATTTCGGAGTATGTCAAAATTGTAATGGCACGCTTCCGGATAGACGAATAGTAATGGTATATTTCAGATCTTCAAGAATTGTAATGGCACCAATCAAAAAACCCTTTTTTGGGGGGGGGAGGTTGGGAGGCGAGTTTTCTTCTCCTTCTCTATGTTAAGTGAGAGATCCTCACCTTAGAGAGTCCATTAGCATATATTTAGTCCATTACCTCATTCCCTTTTGACCTCCACCCTTATAAAAAAATGTCTAATTGTATGTACTACCAAGTGCTTCCTTTGATCTTAACCCCCTCTTTTATCTTTAAGTATAATACACTCTTTTACAACTTCACGATAACTTTGATCTTAGTTCTTTTATTAACCAATACGAAAAGAACGAGAGCATACATTGGACATATAAATAAACATTTTATATAGGATTAGTTCCATCCTAGATGCCTTCCTCTACCTCTCCTAGTTCATTCACATTGACTCATTTCACGCGCAAGTCATCTTTCTTTGTAAGAAGCACCATTTTCAACCACTGACCTATACATTAAGTAAGATAAATAAATGTTTTTTTTATAAAATTTTCTATTGCACACTGAAAAGTGACCCCCTTTGCTACTGGACACTGAAAATGGAGCGGTTTGCTGAAAGACACTCTGATTCTTGGTAAATCTGCTAGTGGACACTTCTAATAAAATATTCATTTCTGGCTTTCAAGGAGAGAGAAGCACGGTGAAATATTCTTTTTGCCCTTGCCCCTTTCTTCTTCCCTTGTCGAGCCCTCTACTCTCACTTCCCTCTCACCTCTGTTTCTTCTGTTCAGATCCGCCGGCAGCCATTGTTGCTCGTGGAGCTCAATTGACCTCTCTGCGACCTCAAGCACGCGGTGGTGAGCACCTCTAGCCCCTCCTCCACCTTTCCATCCCCTCAATTAATTCTGCTTCTTTCCGCCCCTCCCCCCTCGCTGAGCTCTCACCACGCGCCACCATGGTCGCCCCATGGAGCTCGTGCAAAAATCGATCCTCTCAACAACTGGGCATCGGTGCCTTACGTTAGGGCAGCGGTTGGTCACGGGGCGCCGCTGAGCAGGGCTGCGGCGTGCCTCCTGCATGCTCGTCGGCGGTGGCGGGCGGCGGCGCGGTGCCCACACCCGTGCCTCCTGTGTGCTCGTCCTACGACCTGCTCATCCTACGCGGTAGCAGGGCCCGCACCCACTGCCTGCGCAGTGGCGGCCAGCCGGGTGAGTTGGGGAGAACCCAGAGTGAGGAAGAAGAAAGGGGCAGTGGCAAAAAGGATATTTCACCATGCTTCTCTCTCCTCGAAAGTCTGAAAGAAATATTTTATTGGATGAAGTGTCAAATTTACCAAGAATCAGAGTGTCTTTCAGCAAATCGCTCCATTTTCGGTGTCCAGCAGCAAAGGTTACTTTCAGTGTTCATGAGCAATTTTTTGCCATGTTTTTTTTGTTAGATATGCACCTGTGAATGAACAATATTGGATGTGAGAGGGCCCAAATTTATCCACGTGCTTGCCCTATGTATAGGGATACTCCCACAAAAAAATGTAATTCTCACCTCCCGAATAATCAATCAAATTCAAATTTGATCAAATTTAAAAAAATACAAATATTTATGATGCTGAATAAGTATCATTAGATTATTTGTATAGTATATGTTCATAGTAAATCTATTTGAAAATATAAATATTGATATTATTTTATATTAATTTAATTAAACTTAAAAAATTTGACTTACCATAAACCTACAATTACATTTTCGACAGGGCTAGCGCTTGGACGTCCGGCCCTAGGCCCTCGTCCGGACGTAGCTCTAATGCCTTCAACCACTTCGCATCGTTCGCCCCCCCTGCGCTCACATCAGATCCCACGCCAGCGAATCATGTCCGGCCGCCCGCGACCGATCCCGCGCCCGTGACCGCGATCGACCCTTCGCGACTCGATCCTCATCCCGGATGCGCCCCTTTGCCCGCCACGCCGCGCTCCTCCCCTCGCAGTGGCGCCATCCCCGACGCGCCCCCGTCCTTCACCGCGCTCTGTCTCAGCCACACCCATTCCCCTGTCCTAACGTCTCATCTCCTCTGTAACATCCGTCTGACCGTTGCAACATATGCATTATGCTATTGAAACATATTTGTATAGTCATTGCACCATCTAGATGAAGCACATGAAACATGCGTCTGAAACAACTAAAATATTTGGAACATACATTTGCAACATACGTTTAAAATAGATGAAACATGTGGAACATACACTTGAAATATACATGTGTAGCCATTGCAACATATACAACATCATATCCTTTTGCAACATCAAGTTGAAACACATGAAACATACAGATAAAACACAGACATACAGATGAAACGCGTGAAACATATGTATGAAATAACTGAAACACTTGAAACATATACTTGCAACATACATGTATAGCAATTGCAACATAGGCAACATACAGATGAAACACTTGGAAAAAACTTCTGAAACACACCTGAAACATAACATGGCGCCGCGGGCAACCATGACCAATCTGGTGGGGAACTGCAGTAGCCAGCAAGCGGCGCTCGGGTGCAGTGGAGAGGGAGGATGGCGGCAAGCAAGCGGCTGGACATGGTGAAGAGCGCCGCGCTAGAGTAGTGACCGTGGACCACGCCGCGTCAGCTCGAAGAACTCGGCGGCGAGTGGTGAGTGACGGTGGGGAGACAGGAAAGGAGGTGGCGGCGTTCGGGCCCGGTATAGCACGCCGCTGCATTGCGGCCATGGCGGTGCGGTCGCGGTGGAGCAAGCCGCGAACTCGGCAGCGAGTGGTGAGTGGTGATGGGGAGACAGGAAAGCAGGTGGCGGCGTTCGGGCGCAGTGCAGCACGCCGCTGCATTGCGACCATGGCGGTGTGGTCGTGGTGGAGCAAGCCACGCCGATGCGGCCGTGAAGAGTTGGTTCGAGAATGGATGAGAAACAATGACGAGAGCGGCGATTTTTATTTTTATTTTGGTGTGAACGGTAGTGTCGCTGTTAGGCTGTTAGGACATCGAGGTTCACCGACACGCGTGCGGACGAAACAGCCCTACTACCTGCAGCATTGTGGTTACATTTTCCTCTGAGCCTGTGTTTAGTTGTTGAAAAGTTAGAAATTTGGCTACTGTAGCACTTTCGTTTTTATTTGACAATTAGTGTTTAATCATGGACTAATTAGGCTCAAAATGTTCGTTTCGCAATTTTCAACCAAGCTGTGCAATTAGTTTTTTTCGGTCTATATTTAATACTTCATACACGTATCGCAAAATTCGATGTAATAGATAGTGTAGTATTTTTTGGGAAAACTTTTTGCGACCTAAACCAGGCTGAAACTGACGAAGTGTATCACAGTTGTAAAATCACAGGACTGGAAATAGTTTATTATGCACGTGCCTGTGTGCAAAACCATCTTGCAAGCCAACAAAATCCCCGCACCTCCTCCCACTGATCCCATCGTCCTATTCTACTCTGTCCCCACAGGCCCCACATCCTCCGCCTCGCCACGGTCGCTCGCGGTCTCGCTCCGGCAAACCCAATGGCCGCCGCCGTCCCCAACGGCCACCCCGCCGGCGTCGGCGTCGGCGACGACGCGCCCCCTCCCGCTTCGTCGTCGCTGGTGTTCCTGGGCACGGGGTGCTCGAGCGCGGTCCCGAACGCGCGGTGCCTGATCCAGCCCCCCGACCCGCCCTGCTCCGTCTGCTCCCAGTCCCTCTCCGTCCCGCCCGAGCTAAACCCTAACTACAGGTGCCGCCTCGCCTCCTCTCGCTCCTCCTCCCTAACCTTGTGGGACTTACCGTCGTGTTGCGGCGTGGGGGTGTTTATGGCGTGTTTATTTATCATCACGGGGTCGGTGCGGATCTGTGATGCGTGAGATCGGGGAGCTTTGGCCTGGTTATTGCTATTAATCTGTGCGGGGAATGATGCTTAGGGTGATTAAGAAATGTTGGTCAGATGTATGCATTACGTATTTGTTTTGTTTGTTAGTTTTAGTACTTTTTTAGCAGCAATCTGAATACTACAAATCAATCATTCTGTGTTTTGTCTGCAGCTGCAACAGCTGTTTCGTTGGTGCATTTGCATATTTCATCTAATTGTTCAGTGTTCACAACATGCGTTTAAGCAGTCTGAGAAAAATTGCAGTGACTGGAATGCTGTGAAAAGGGAAAAATTAGGATGTATCAGATTAGATATGATCAATCAATGTGGATATGTGATAGGGCAGAGTCAACTTAGAATCCTTAGATTGGCAAATATGTTTGAATCAAATGAATTGGACTCACAGGTTATGTACGTTTTTATTTATACACACAACTTGCCCAGGCATCCTATTTCATATATAAAATATGAATGGTATTAATTGATATCTTACTAACTTGCTTATGTCCAGTTTTTGTTTCTACATTGGACCCCTATGGCAGAAATCACAGTTCACTTTCTCCACTCTGTTTTCTCCTTTGTACTGTATACAGGAGATGCAGTAGTATTTTTGAGGCTTAGACTATATGTGTTATGTGATCATGTGAGGTTAGAGCATTGTTACTTTTTGTTCAAGAAAGATCATGTATATGATGAAATCAGTACCTAAGCAAAAGAAGAAGGTGCATATATTAGATGCAATTGAACAATGTCATGAAAGTAGGATAAGTGAACCCAGAATACCTTAAGCCTATATTACAGAAAGAAATTGAATATACTATTTTACAGGTCCTGGTAAATCAAACTTAGTTTCATGTACTTTTAGATTATGAAGAAACTTTGAAATGATTGAGCTCTGTTCATGCTTGTACTCTTGGCTGATACCTTCTCTAGGATCAAATTAAACTCTTCTAGTGACTTAGGACTATATCGTGCTTGTTTATGTTTTTACTTGAGGGAAAGTAAATCAAAACTTCAGTCTGAGATGTTTCTCGAATGCTGTTGCACCTGAACAAGGTTGATGGATAATTTATGCTTAAACGTGCATTTTGTGCAGGTGCAATACTTCTCTTTTGATTGACTATTGCCAAGATGAAGGTGCACATAAGTATATTATAATTGATGTGGGGAAGACATTCAGAGAACAAGTTCTGCGATGGTTTGTTCGCCACAAAATCCCTTGCGTTGATTCTGTGAGTCCCTGATATACTCTTGTTTGCTTTAGTTTTTCGAATGGTTTATTTCAAACCAAAAGGCCAACTACGAGATAGTTCACAATGACTGTAAAAGAAAACTGTGTTTTGCATACCCATGGTACACTAACACCTCTTCCCTATTCCTTACAGATTCTTCTGACTCATGAGCATGCAGATGCAATCTTGGGCCTTGATGATGTTCGGGTCGTACAGCCATTTAGTCCTACAAATGATATTGATCCAACCCCAATTTATCTATCTCAATTTGCTATGGACAGGTAATTGTGTTTAAACTTTGATGGGCATTGTTACTGCACTATTGCTCTTTTCAAATTATAAGTATATTTCAGTAAGGAATGCATGTGACTTGTTTAATCATAGTTATACTGGGCTTAGCTGACTGTCTCTCACAATATACATTAGGAATCGACTTCTCCTGCACAAAATTTACCACTTTAGTACGTTTCATGAGAATTAAGTTATTGAAGGATAACAAGTATCTTTAAATGAACATTGATATAGTAGCTGACAAATACAACCATGTTATCCTCTTGTGAGTTCTTTGTTCTTGGAGACTTGGGCTACCATTTCTGTATGTCCTAATTTTCTATGTTGCTCTCTTGTCCAATCTTATATACATTTTCTAGCATTGTCATCCTTTATCTGGTAAGGGCTTGTATTTCATTTAGTCTTATCGTGTTTCATCATTGCCTTACAGCCAATTTGTAGTCATTGGGTAGAGACAATAGATGAGAATTGTACATTTGTACTCATAGTTTCAATCTAATACAGCATCTCCCAAAAGTTCCCTTATTTGGTCAAAAAGAAATTAAAGGAAGGGGAGGAGGTCAGGCGAGTTGCCCAACTTGACTGGAAAATAATTGAGAGTGATATTCAGAAACCATTTACAACTTCAGGGCTAGAGTTTGTTCCCTTGCCGGTAATAAGCAACATTTCCGTTCAACTGCATTTTATTTTGCTATGCATTTTTCTTAATTTGTATTCAAATCAGGTTATCCATGGTGAAGACTACATTTGTTTGGGTTTCCTTTTCGGAAGAAAATCAAAAGTTGCTTACATATCAGATGTTTCGCGGTTTCCCCCAAGCACAGAATATGGTAACCTTCTATTTGCTAATGATTTGTTTTATCTTCACTGATTGTTTTGAGTCCATTCTCAGTGGAGAGTTTTGGAGCATTGTTTCCAAGAATGTAGAATGCAATGAAACAATCACTCTCAATGCATAGTTTCTTTTGTTTCATTGACATTTAATTCTACGACTCATCTTGAGTTGGAAATCGAGCCAAGAGGGTTTCATCTACATGAAACTCACATCTTCTCTCTGTTCTTTAAAATGTTGCCATCTTCTATAAAATGTTGCCATGTCATAAAAAATGCTTAAGTGACAACCTATTAAATGCAGATGAAACTCAAAGACTGGCCTGGGAATCGGTGCAGTTTTTGTAGATTTATTGCCTGTCCCCCTTTGTTTGATTGTACATGTACTTATGTTTCAGCAATTTCGAAGTGTGGAGGGGGCCAACTGGATTTGCTCATCTTGGATTGCCTGTACAGGGTTAGTTTCTTTATGGCTCTTTCTGTTTACTATGCAGTTGTTTCCCCTTCCTTCTGCTCGTTCTGTATTTGTTTCTGGATTCACATAAACTGCGGAACTTTTATCAAACCACAGCTCACTAGTTGCTACAGATTACAGAATAAGGACAGATGTCTCTGAATACTGAGGAACATGTAGAAATGGGGAAACACCATTTCTCAATTTCTCTTTTGCTTGTAATCTTGAATTGATAAGTGCACATAGTAGGAAACTTTTCAGTGCTGGTAATATTGTGTGGGTGAACATTTTTGTCTCTTGGGGGCAAACATTAATGTTTTTCAGATAGCACAAGCATGATCTGTTGATTTTGCATCTGTTAGTCGCTGAATTCTCACTCTTGGTAGTAGGAGAATTCTTACTCTCATCGAGAGAGGATGACACTAGGAGTTGGGACAATTTTCTTGTCTATTTCTTACTCAAATGCCATGCCAACCTGAGGGGTTGGGGTTATATATTTATAGGCTGCTAGCCAGCCAAGCATATGCCAAGATGCTAGTCTAAGATGCTAGTCTAAGATGCTAATATGCTGTCCTAGCTAAGATGTCATCCTCTAGTCTAAGATGTTGTCCTCTAAGATGTCATCTCTGCTTGTCCTCTAGTCTAAGATGCTGTCCTAAAAGCGTAAAAACAGCCATAAGGACCATGTGAGCAAAGACAACCCCACAAAGACCACACATGAGACTTATCCATCATTCTCCCCTAAGTCTTGTGCGTCGCGTCTTGTGGGAGAGTTGAACCATCCCGATCCCGGGCAGAGCTCAAAGAACTTGATCCTCCCAAGGGGCTTGGTGAGCGGTGTCCGCAAGTGGTCCTTGGTGTTGATGTAGCTCGCCTTGATGCTCCCTTCCTCCAAATAGCCTCGGATGAAGTGGTACCTCACCCGGATGTGCTTGTTGCGTTAGGAACACGGGGTTCTTTGCTAGGGCCAGCGGACTTGTTGTCCACCCCAGCTCCACCGCTCTAGTGTCTCTCGCCGAGGAGATCACCAAGCGATCGAGCGAGCCAGAGCGCTGAAGTCGAGCGCGTGGAGGCTGCTATGTACTCGGCCTCGCACCGATAGGGCCACCACTGCCGCTGACCGATCGCCACCAACGAGGCACTTGCCGAGGAAGAAGAGGATCCCGCTGCGTGCTCTTGCTTTGGTGTCGATGTCGCCGGCGTGGTCGCCGCCGTCATTGTGCAGAACGAAGTGTGCCGCCCCCTCTGGCACCTCGGGCAATGAGAGGCCATGGTCGAGAGTCCCCGCAACATAGCGGATGATCCTCTTCACAGCCTGCTGGTGCTCCGTCGTCGGTCACTGCATGAACCGACTAACGTAGCCGACGGAGAATGCCAAGTCCGGCCGTGTGTGGGCGAGGTAGCGAAGGCTCCCCACAAGACGCCGCAGATCGCGTGCAGCGTCCACCTCCTCCGTCCGTCGTCTTTGTCGCGGCTCGACTTTCACCTCTCCATCGGAGTGAGAGCTGGGTTGCGATCGGTGAGCCCAAATAGCTCAACGACGCGCTTGGCGAGGCGGATCCGTCAAGTGTGATCCCGAGTCATTCGGTGCACCTCGATGCCTGGTAGAAGGAGAGAGACCCTGTGTCACTCATCCGGAAGGTGGCCTTCATCTCTTCCTTGAATGCCGCCACCTCCGCATCCTTGGTGCCGGTGATCACCAAGTCGTCGACGTAGACACCCACCAAAGCAGAAAGCGCCTCCTCCACCGCCCGTCGGTAGATGGTCGCCTCGTCGGGCTTTGCTCAAGCCCATCCCTTTAGCGTGGAATCCAACTTGGCATTCCACGCCCTCGGTCTTTCTGCCGCAAGCCATAGAGGCCTTGCGCGAGCGAGCACTTTGCCCTCCTGTGCCGGGATCGCAAATCCCGGCCGGTGGTGTACGTAGACCTCCTCCTTCAAGTCGCCGTTAAGGAGCGCGCCGACTTGACGTCCATGTGATGAACACGCCACCCTCCCGGGCGGCTAAGCGCAAGGTCGCGACGGACTCCATCCGTACCCGCGGAGCAAAGGCGTCGTCGAAGTCGACCCTCTCTCGCCGCACGAAACCTCGTGCCACCAAGCGAGCCTTGTGCTTGACGATGGCACCGGCTTCATCCTCTTCGCCTTTGAACACCCACTTAAGGGTGATCGCGCGGTGACCACGAGGAAGGTCGGCAAGCTCCCAGTGCGCGTTCTTCTCGACCGCATCCATCTCCAATCGCATCGCGCGCGCCGCCATGCCGCTTGTCTCTCGCCTCTGATACGACCGAGGCTCGCCGTCGCCACACGCAAGGTGCAATCTAAGCCTCCAGTCGTGAGGCACCGGTCCCGCACCGGTGATCGCCCGAAGGGTTCTCCATCGTCACGGTACCGCAGAACGCTCGCCGTCGTAGTACGCGTCGACACGCTCCTCGCTCGTGAGAGAGCGCGAGTAGCGAGCTCAATCGGGTCGTGCTCGACACGAGCCGGTGGTGGAGTAGACGTGCCTAGAGAGTGGTGCTGCTCGGTCTTTGGAGTCGCGTGGCGTTGCTTACCAGTGTAGTGGAGCCGGCGAAGAACTCATCGCAGCCCGAGGTCCCGGGCCGGAGAGTGTGGTCTTTGTCGAGAGCAGCGCCGGGGTTGGTGGAGGCTCGGGGGTTTGGGTAGACGCTGCTTGCCAAGAAGAGCCGCCTACTCCCCAGCTCCCTCGAGGTGGACGTACTCGACAGTGAAGTCGTCGTCGACGTCGGAGCCGAGCCGCCGCCCACCGCTTGTCCCACGCCCATCCTCGCCGCCGTTTTCGTCGAACACAACGTCGCGCAGCGCGCGCACACGCCGGTGTCTTGGTCGAGGATACGGTAGGCCTTCGAGCCCTCCGCGTAGCCGGCGAACACTCCCGAGTGCTCTTGTCGTCGAGCTTGCCGATGTGGCCAAGCTCCTTGGCGAACGCGAGGCGCCAAGACCCGCAAGTGGGAGACCGCCGGCTTGCGCCCATGCCAAGCCTCGTCACGGTGTCCTGCCGAGCGCCTTTGGTAGGCGAAAGCGATTGAGGATGTAGACGGCCGTCACCACCGCCTCTCCCCATAAGATGCCCGCATCCCCTCTCGCTTGAGGAGGGCCCGAGCCATCCCCACAATCGTCTGGTTGCGCCGCCGACGACGCCGCTGCTCACGCTGGTCAGACGGGCGGTAGCGAGTAGTGGCGCTGAATGCCTCGCGGTGATCAACAAGAAGACGACGCCGCAAGTGATTCACCGCCCGTTGTTCGCCGCCGCGGCGCCAGTAGACTTCTTGACGCTGCACTCATACCGCCTGACGACTCCGCAGCAGCACTGATACCGAGAAGCGCCCGCAGCCTCTCCCTTTGTCGCCGAGGACCATCACCCACATGTAGCGGGAGAGGTCGTCGACGAGCGGCGAGAAAGTAGCGTCGTCCTCCCGGTGTGGCCGGGTGTCACCGGCCACACAAGTCCCGTGCACAAGCTCGAGCCTCTCCTTGGCTCGGCTTCGCCCGCCCGGGGGGAAAGGGGAGTCGCCTCGCTTCGCAACACGCAGACGTCGCAGAGTCGCTTCACATGGTCAAGGCACGGCGGGTTCTCGCACCATCTCCGGCAATCGAGCCGCCTGAGGCCTCGGTGAAGAAGGTGCCCGGCGCGCTGCGTGCCATCGCCACGCCTCGTCATCCCGACGAGCGAATGAGATGAGAGGGGTTGTGCCACCGCACGTTAAGGATGTAGAGTCGATTTGGCGCTCGGATACCTTGGCAAGAAGGCGGCGACGGCGATCCCAAATCCTCATGACTCCATCCTCAACCACCACGCGCGAACCATTCTCATCCAAATTGTCCCAAGTCGATGATGGAGTTCCTCAACGCTGGATGTAGTAGACTCCGTGAGCGTACTGTGCTCACCAGACACCAGCAGTGAAGATGACGGAGCCGACGCCTGATTGATCTCCACGCACGAGGCATCCCCAAACTTGACGGAGCCTCGGACGCTAGAGTCAAGCTCGGTGAAGAACTCCCATCGACCGGTCATGTGATGGGTGGCGCCGGTGTCGAGGCACCACCCGTCGATCTTGTCGTTCGGAGCCGCCGCCGAGGAGGCGTGTGCTGCTTGGCTCGCTCAAGGTGGAGAACCGAACCGCTGCGCGCCGGTGCCACCGGAGGTAGCTCGATCTTCGGCATGTGCCATGAACAGAGCCGGTTCCTCCTCCTCCGCTTTGTCGACGTGGGCCGCCGCCGTCGTGGTTGTCGACGATCCTTGGCCCAATGGCCAAGCCGGCGCAGCTATGGCGGTGTGTCGCCTCTTGCGGCTTGTACTGCCGTGGCGGCGCCACCTGGCGCCTCGCGAACATCACCTCGGACGTCCTCGCGCTTCACTGGCGTCTGCAAGCTGCTTTGCGCGGCTTGCCACGCTTATGGCCGCTGTCATGCGGAAGAAGGCTCCCTTCCTCCGGTCACCTTGGTCGGCAAGCCACTACTCCCGAGTGAGAAGGAGCTTCCGCCCGATGGGTGATGGGCCCCAAGAGGGATCAGGGCTCATCATTGCCGACGACCTTGAGGCGACCTATATCGCCTCCTCGATCGACATCGTGGAGAGATCCAGCAGAGACTCGATCGAGCGAGCCATCTGCTTGTACTTCTCGGGGACGCAGCGGAAGAGCTTTTCGACAGCTCTCTCCTCGCCGTAGGTGTCGTCGCCGAACTGCACCATCTTCTGCAATAGAGTGTTGAGACGGAGAGCAAAGTCATCAACGCCCTCACCGCTTGAAGGCGGTGTTCTCCCACTCCTTGCGGCGTGCACATGTAGTGTGGACTTGCGCGGGCGCGGTCGCTGCCGATCGTGCCGCAGGCGATGGCGCCCCAAGCCTCCTTAGCGATCCGCTTCTTTGTAAGCGAGAATCGCGCATCTCAAGCGGATCGCAGCGATGAGAGCATCCAGCGCCCGTCGATCTAGGTCGTGGTCGACGCCGCCGTCACCGGATCGCCTCCCACATGTGCCGCACTGAGCTTTACCTCATCACCGCAGCCCACTCGATGTAGTTGGTCTTGGTGAGGGTAGGCCACCCACCGCCGGGACCGACGTCCCTGACAACGGCTGGAGCCCGTGGTAACCACGGTACCGATCCGGGAGAGAGAGCCACGTTGCCTGTGAAGGCCACGCTCTCCATCGACCCGTCCGCCACCGCTGTTGCGCGCGCGCTCCTCCTCCGGAGCGCCGCCAGCCGTCGCGCCTCCTCAGAGCGCCGCCGGCGCGCCGCCGCGCTTCGGCTGCCGCCACGCGTGGCGGTGCGCGCTGCCAGAGCGCCATCGCGCGCGCCTCCTCCAGCGCCTCCCTCTCGCCCGCGCTCGAGGCCGCCACGCTGCCGTGGTGGTGCTGTCGCCCATCGCGCCGAAATGGAGCCGCCGCTTCCTCTCTAGCAGCTTGAGGTCCGCGTCGGCGTGTCGACCTCAGCTGCCGCTGCGCCAGCCAGAAACCTCGCCTCGCCCTTCGCCGCCGCTATTGCGCCGCCGCCTCATTGCCTGCCTCCTGCTCGCCTGCCTTTGCCGACTCCTTGTTACCGACGCTTTTGCGCCCAGCCCGCCCGTCTCTCTGTCGCCGCTTCGCTCGCGTTCTCTGCCGTGGCAAGTTCGCCTCTGCTGACGCCACAGGCTCGAGGCGACTGAAGGCCGAGATCGCCTGCGGCGGACATGACGCGCTACCGGGGGACTGCTGCGTGGGGAGAGGGCTGCCAGACGACCGCTGCTTTTTCGTCACATGGGGGAGGAGCAGAGCGGCCGGAGCTGCTTTCTTTCTTGGGGCTGTTATGTATGGGGTGGGAGGAGATGAGCAGAGATGCTCAGAGCTCAGGATAATACTGGCTCGATACCAGGTTGTTAGTCACTGAATTCTCACTCTTGGTAGTAGGAGAATTCTTACTCTCATCGAGAGAGATGACACTAGGAGTTGGGGCAATTTTCTTGTCTATTTCTTACTCAAATGCCATGCCAACCTGAGGGGTTGGGGTTACATATTATAGGTCTGCTAGCCACCAAGCATATGCCAAGATGCTAGTCTAAGATGCTAATATGCTGTCCTAGCTAAGATGCTGTCCTCTTCTAAGATGTTGTCAAGATATCCTCTCAATCTAAGATGCTGTCCTAAAAGCAGAAAAACAGCCACAAGGACCATGTGAGCAGTACAGCCCCACAAAGACCATACATGAGACTTATCCATCAGCATCAAGCATACAACCCACCAGATTCTTCAAATCAAATTCAGAACATTGACTGCAACCGATAGATGATATTGAACATATTTGATGACCAATAACGTCATAGATAAATTTGGTTTTGGTTGTGGAAGTAATTCTTGACTTTGCACTTAACTACTAGTTACATAGTAGTTGATTTGTCTTGTAATTCGTACAATTGCTATTAGTTAAGGACATTTGATCATTAGTTAGCAATCTTATATTGCATCATTGTCTTCATTAATTTGTTGCATCTCTGACATCCTCTGTGTGAACAGACAGGTTCTCACAATGTGCACCTATGTTGGGACCAGGTTGGTTTTCATAGTTTCATTTCATTTCACTCTTTCATAATCCAAGCAAGCTGTTTCCTATTTCTTTTATATTCTGTATGTCTGATTTATGCTCACATTATGATCTTATACAGACACTAGATGCTGTTAGGAGGATTTGCCCCAAAAGAGCATTGCTCATTGGGATGACCCATGAGATGGATCATCACAAGGACAACCAAACATTGGAAGAATGGTCCAGGAGGTAAGGCCTTCCTCCTAGATACTTTAGATGTTTGCAGACACAGGCTACCGAATAAGTTGACATAAAGAACACGTGCAAATGGAAGCAATGCCATCTTTCTTTCAACATGATCTTATCATAGAAAGGCACACATGACCCATGCTCAGTTACTGCTATTTGTTAAAAAAAGCACTTGCTTTACTGTGCATGCTCATGTTCTGTAATTTGGAAATGCAGGGAAGGGATAGATGTACAGTTAGCTCGTGATGGCTTGCGTGTCTACATCGATCTGTAACCGTGAAAGGTACAGGCCTCTGCCATTGTTTTGACTATAGCGATCGATCATATTGCTTTATTCATTATCATGGTCCGTTTGGTTAACACTTCACTATCCGGCGTACCGTGCATATGAATGTTTGTGGGTTCACTGACACACTACTCTTCTTTGTATATCAGGACCATGCCATACTCAGTGAACCGCGCCAGGCTTTTTGATTGATGTTAACATCCAGTCCGTTGTGAAGAAAGTACAAACTGACTAAAAAGGCGAACAACCTGTTTGGTGCATCATTCTTCGTGCGCAACAAGTAGTTTGATATAGTCTTTTTTTACATTTCGCTAGTTTATACGTGAATCGTCGAATAAAAAAGAGAGTAGTCACTAGCCAGTAGTTATTTCAGTGCTGCCCGCAAATTAATTGCCATCTTCTTGGTGAGGTAGTTGAATGTTCTTGTCAATTGCAAGCTACACTGCACTGGATGCACGTGCACCAGTCGAATTGAACACGTGATTTTTTAACTCGGACACGCCCGGTTCATGTACTGTACTCCGTCCAGAATGGACGGAAAAGAACCTAATTTTGTGTGTCTGCAAAAAGTAGTTTATGTTTGATTAAATTTCTAGAGAATAGTATTCATATTTATGGTTCTAAAATAATTTATTATAAAAATACATATCTCAATTAATTTAATGATATTTATTTAATATAATAAATATTGATAAATTTTTATCTATAATTGATTGCACTTAAGATACTAAATCATGATACTGTTGTTAGAATTGCATTTTTTTTTTGGACGAAGGAAGTATTTCTTAAGAGGAAAATCGATTGAGCATGTCAGTACCGCAAGCTTTTTGAAGCAGGTCAACTTTCATGGATGAGCATGGTGTTCGTGGTGTCAGACCCGGGCTGCACAATCTTCAAACCCATGCTTTGTGAAGAGCACGCAGATGACTCCAAAGGTTTTAATCGATTTTACAGTGCCATTGTTTCATTCTCAACACACTGAATCTCTTTCATTTTTTTTAAAGTTCTGACTTCTGAATCGCTACCTTGGGCTTCCAAAAAAAAAATGTTAATCCAGGCAGGCAGGCCCACCGGCCGCACGCACGCACGCACACACGCGGCACGGCCAGTCGGACAGGCGCGGCCGTGTGTGACGCCACGGCGCAGCCCATCCATCCATACACCCACCACACCACACCACACCACACCACACATCCCCGCTCGGCTCCCGTGATCCCTCCTCTGTCTTCTCTCACAGGAGGGAGCGTGGCCGCCCTCACTCTGCTCGTCGCATCCACCCATCCCCTGACCCCTCCCCCCTCCTCGTCGCGGCGCGGGCGGCGGCAATGGCGATGGCCTCCACCTACGCGCCAGGCGGCAGCGCGGGGGCGCTGGCGCCGGGAAAGGGCAGAGTCCACGGCCCCGCGGGCCTCGGCTTCCTCGGCCCCTCCAAGGCCGCCGGCCTCCCCCACCCCCGCCCCCTCGCCCTCGCCAGGCGGATGAGCAGCCCCGTCGCCGTCGGCGGCGGCGGCGCCGCCAGGCTGCGGTGCGCGGCGTCCTCCTCCCCCGCGGCCCCGGCGCGGCCCGTCACGGCGCCGCGCTTCATCCAGCACAAGAAGGAGGCCTTCTGGTTCTACCGCTTCCTCTCCATCGTGTACGACCACGTCATCAACCCGGGCCACTGGACCGAGGACATGCGCGACGACGCGCTGGAGCCCGCCGAGCTCTACAGCCGCCACCTCAAGGTCGTCGACGTCGGCGGCGGCACGGGCTTCACCACGCTCGGCATCGTCAAGCACGTCAACCCGGAGAAGGTCACGCTGCTCGACCAGTCCCCACACCAGCTCGAGAAGGCGCGGCAGAAGGAGGCCCTCAAGGGGGTCACCATCATGGAGGGCGACGCCGAGGACCTCCCGTTCCCCACCGACTCCTTCGACCGATACATCTCCGCCGGCAGGTCTCTCGAGTCGTCCTTCCCCTGCTGCTCGTTTCACTTCACTACTGTCCGTATATATCATCCTGTACTACCTGTCCATATATATTGTGAATATGTTCTAAATAACCATGTTGTGAATTGTGATGACTGCGCATTCCATTCCATGAGTATATAACAGCTAGCCAAGTAGTACTATGGATTGCTGATTTTGCTGCCCTGTCATGATACCTTGCAGCATCGAGTACTGGCCAGACCCACAGCGGGGGATCAAGGAAGCCTACAGGGTCTTGAGGTTTGGTGGGCTAGCTTGTGTGATTGGCCCAGTGTACCCGACCTTCTGGCTGTCCCGCTTCTTCGCCGACATGTGGATGCTCTTCCCCAAGGAGGAAGAGTACATCGAGTGGTTCACGAAGGCTGGGTTTAAGGATGTCAAGCTGAAAAGGATTGGACCAAAGTGGTACCGCGGTGTCCGAAGGCATGGCCTCATCATGGGTTGCTCTGTCACAGGCATCAAGAGACAGAGCGGAGACTCTCCCTTGGAGGTACCTTTCCTTTTTCAATTTAGTAATGGAAAGCGTAGCTATTCAAATTCATACTTACCATATCTCAATGCGTTTTTGGCACATCTCGTTCAGACTTCAGATTGTTCATTTCCTGCTGTACCTGCAGTAGGTAGGCAGGCATTCAGGGGTTTTGGTATAAGTTTTTCTGTTTTATTTTTGATGCAGCTTGGTCCCAAGGCGGAGGATGTCAGCAAGCCAGTGAATCCGATCACCTTCCTCTTTCGCTTCCTTGTAGGAACAATATGTGCTGCATACTATGTTCTGGTGCCTATTTACATGTGGATAAAGGACCAGATCGTGCCAAAAGGCATGCCAATCTGAGTGTAGGGGAATGAGCTGCATGGAAGAGAGGATAGCCAACATCTGAATTAGTCTTCTCTATATTAGGCGCTTCCTGCCTGTTTTGTATTATTACCTCTTGTTTTCCTGCTGCTATGTACTTCTTGTACTGATGTTCCTGTTTGTGCGAATAATTAATACTAAGACATGGATATTCTCCAGTTTCTTGAGCATGGCTGCTTTCAGTGGGACCTTCGTAGCCGGTTATTGGATTTAAATTATATGATGTATAATTTAGTAGGTTAAATTATATGAATGTAATATATATAGTTTAGTTGGTTCCTGGCTCTGCAAAATTCCTTCTTTCTTCTTATCATCAGTACGATTTCTAAGACCTGTTTTGCTACTCTATGCTATGTCTTTGTTACCCTTGTTGGGTTTCATCTGTAGCTTACCCCAACTTGCTTATAATTAGAAGGCTTTGGTGGTGTTGTTGCTGTTATGCTAAGTGGTACAGAGAGATAGTAACTGATAGCTCTGCATAAAGAGCATGTCTTATTGGGATGCTACCTGATTTGGAGTCCTTTTTTTTTAATTTAAAAGTTCTGTTGCATGGCATATGTGCATGTAAAACCAAATTGCTCTAACAACTCAAACCATAGTTTGTCATTTTATTAAGGTGCTGTGTTTTGAACAAATTTGGTTGAGTAATATTTCTACGAACTAGCAGTGTATTATTACATATTTTCTGTACATGGCTAGATACATTCATGATAAACAGTCAGATATTTAGGTCTTTACACAATTCAAGCAGTTATTTTGTTTTCCCATTCCATGATACAGTTTTGCATCATGCTAATGCAATGATGTTCAGAGACTTGATGCTATTAAGGCTTCCTCTGAAAGTGCATTTGCTCAGTGGAAGGGGTCGATGGGATGGACCATAAAATGGAACATTGAAAACTGCTTGTAAGTTAGGCCTTCCTGTGGGACACTCTAGATGCATCAATCCATACACTCTTATGCAAATACATGTTTCTATGTGATTAATGCTGTCTTTGCCAATCCTGCTTGAAACTAGTGCATTCTGATTACTATATTTGCCTTCCACAGTTTTATTAAGATCTATGAAAGATACCCATACTCATGTGCTGTAAATTGTATGTGCAGGGAATGGATAGCCTAATGTTAGTTCCTGATTGCATATCTATTGGATTTGGTTCAGTGACAAGATAATTTTTTTATGATGACAAGGTATGTTGTTTAATCTCTTTGTTGAAGTTGAACCACAGTTCAAAATGTTCTCTTCCATTTGTTTGTCTTTGTACTTGTTTCTTACTTTCTTTTTTCCACTCTTGGTAGTATGGGGTATTGCATAGCAAATGAACTATAAGTTATCCACATTGACAGATATGATGGTAGGTATTGATGTAGTATTGTAGCATGGATTTGATTAGTAGACCTACATCAACTCAGTGCCATACAGTCTATCATAATCCAGTATGTCAAAATCCTGGTTCTGGACAAAGACTATATAATGATCATGTAAGGAAAAGCTGGAGCTCTTTGATATGTTAACTGTTTAATCTGACACCCAAATAAAGTTTAAAATCGAAATACAGATGCAATTAATGCCGACACCCAAATAAAGTTTAAAATCGAAATACAGATGCAATTAATGCTGACAGTTTTTTCCAATATATAGTTGTATATTAAGAATCACACAATGAACTTGCAGTACAAAGTGTTGAATTTGTTGCAGTTTGGCTGTCTCAGTCCTCTAACATCTCAGTCTCATCTGAAGGCACAGAAACTAATGGCACTCCATAAGAATAATGTTCTTGAATAGGGTTGGTCTTGGTGACAAGCTGTGTCTGAAGTCTTCTTAACATTTGTAGTCGCTCTGCAACTTCCTTCATTGTTGGCCTTTCGTCTCCTTTTGGGCTCAGGCATTGCATGACGAGCTGAGCTAGTTTCTCGAGTACTATCATAACTTCATCATCTACTATTTCAGTGTCCAATACATCCCAGAGCTTATTCTGGTGGAACATCAGTATGAAAGTATAGGATAGTGCTTTTTGTTCGTTAGAAGTATCAATATAGATGGCCTTCTTTCTTGTCATTATCTCCAAAAGAATGATCCCAAAGCTGTATACATCACTTTTATCAGTTAAGTGGTGACTGACAAAACTCTCAGGGTCGATATAACCAAGAGTTCCTTGGATAAGCATAATGAAATAATTTTTGTCCATGGGCTTCAGTGCTGATGCTCCAAAATCTGACACTTTTGCATTGTATTCTTCATCCAAGAGTATATTAGGGATTTGACATCTACATGCACAATTGTGCGAGAAGTTGATGAATGAATGTAGGCAAGAGCTTCTGCTGACTGTGTAGCAATATTCAATCTTAGATCCAATGGTATTGGTATTCTGGCACCAGTTCCATGAAGAAACTCAAAGAGTGTACCATTGGAAATGAACTCATACACCAACATCGGCACATCTACCTCCAAGCAGCATCCTAGTAACCTCACTATGTTCCTGTGGTTAATTTGTGACAGGACTATTATCTCATTGACAAATTCTTCTCTGCTGTCATCATTTATTATTTTGGACTTCTTTATGGCAACTTCTTTGTTGTCAGCTAAAGTTCCTCTATAGACCATGCCATGGCCACCACATCCAAGAACATGATCTTCACTAAAATTATCTGTGGCTTTCTTTTCTCTTTCTCTGTAAGTATATGAATGGTGTCAACTTGCCTTGATCTCATCTCATCATATAATTTGAGACCTCCATTTTGTTTGAAATAATCATCCTTCTCCCTTCTATGCTTGTTCCGTTGTAACTTCATAACCAGTAAGCAAGTCAAAGATACCACCACAACTGCACCTGCACAGAGGCCTGCACGATGATTTTCTTATGATTAGATGCCTCAAAATCCTCGAAAGACATTTAGATTGTTCAAGTCTACTCTCAAGTACAATCCTTACCTATGGCCACCTGTTCAGCTTGACAAAGCACAGGCCAGCATCCAGAATTTGTACCATCTTTTCTTGTTCCTATCCTGCACTTGCATATATAGCCTCCTTGTGTATTGTGACAGACCCCATTTTCACATGGATATAATTCTTTGTACTTCAGATCCTGCTTACGTAGCTTGCACTCATCTATGTCTGTAGGGAATTATTAAGAAAACAGGTTAACATGGATTTAATAAGGAAAAAGAAAACCAAAATACAATTTAGTTCGTTAAAAAAAAACTCCGCCTATGTTGTCTCAACATAGCAGGTCCCAAGCCCTGGTAAAGGTGGAGGGTTGTGATAGGCGTGGCGAGCCAACGTTAAATCTAGCCATTCTTATGGAGATGAAACCCGAAAGAAAACCGTTGGGGCGTAACCCTCTTAGCGACGCGCCATATCGGAACCCGGGTATGGTGTTAAATGAGCAAGGGCCGGGTCGTCACCCCCGTGACGCGCTGTGTCGCGATCTGGGCATAGTGTCGAGTGAGCAAGGATCGGGTCGTCGCATCCTTAGTGGCGCGCTACATCAGCGCCCGGGTGTAGTGAAAAATGAGCAAGGGTCTTCGCATCTGAGTCGACGGGTGCGAAGGGTAAGGAAGCTAGTCGAACCAACTAAGATCCGTTTAGGTAGTTGGAATGTAGGGTCGATTACAGGTAAGTTAAGAGAATTAGTTGATACCGCGACTAGGAGGCGTGTAAATATATTATGCGTTCAAGAGACTAAATGGAAGGGTCAGAAGGCGAAGGAGGTGGACAATACAAGTTTCAAGCTTTGGTACACAGGGACAGTCACGAATAGAAATGGAGTAGGAGTTTTGATTGATAAGAGCCTCAAGAATAGTGTGGTGGGAGTGAGAATGCAAGGAGATAGGATTATCTTAGTCAAGCTTGTCATTGGTGATATGGTGTTGAACGTAATTAGTGTGTATGCCCCCCAAGTAGGCATCGACGAGAGTGCTAAGAGACAGTTCTGGGAAGACTTAGATGGCCTCATTAGAGCTGTACCTAGTAGTGAGAAGCTTTTTATAGGAGATCTTAATGGGCATGTAGGTACTACAAGCACAGGTTTCGAGGCAGTTCATGGAGGTTTTGGGTATGGTAGTAGGAATCAGGAGGGGGAGGAAGTTCTGGACTTCGCGGTAGCTTTTGACCTGATGATAGCCAACACTTTCTTTAGAAAGAGAGAATCTCATTTAGTGACCTTCAGTAGCGGACAACACTCTAGCCAGATTGACTTTGTCCTCGCAAGAAGAAAGGACAAACGAGCATGCTTGGGTTGCAAGGTGATACCAGGAGAGTGTGTTGTTTCTCAACATAAGATTTTGGTGGCAGACTTTTGTTTTCAGGTGCGTGCCCGTAACGCTTGTACCATAACAGGAGTGTGGACAACATAGAGAAGTACAAGGTGGCAAAGAAGACTGCAAAGCGAGCTGTAAGTGTGGCAAAGGGTAGAGCGGGCGATGATCTTTACCAACATTTGAGTACGAAGGAAGGAGAGAAGGACATTTATAAGATGACTAGGGTTCGTAAGAGAAAGAAAAGGGACTTCAACCAAGTTAAGTGCATTAAGGATGAAAGGGAGCATCTCTTGGTGAAGGAGGATGAGATCCGACATCGATGGCAAGAGTATTTTGACAAATTGTTCAATGGTGAGAATACGGACACAACTTTTCAGTTGGATGACTCTTTTGATGACACCAATAGGCGCTTTGTGCGGAGAATCCAAGAATCTGAGGTCAAAGAGGCGTTGAAAATGATGAAAGGAGGTAAGACGATGGGACCAGATGGATCCCAATCGAGGTGTGGAGATGCCTTGGAGACATAACTATAGTATGGCTAACCAAGCCGTTTAACCATATTTTTCGATTGAACAAGATGCCTGACGAGTGTAGGAGAAGTATATTGGTACCGATCTACAAGAATAAAGGGGATATTCAAATTTGTACTAATTACCGGGGAATTAAGTTGATGAGCCATACTATGAAGCTATGGGAGAGAGTTATCGAGCATCGCTTGAGACCAATAACGCGGGTCTCTATGAATCAATTTGGTTTCATGCCCGGAAGGTCAACCATGGAAGCAATTTTCTTAATAAAACAAGTTATGGAGCGGTATAGGGAGAAGAAGAATGACCTACATATGGTTTTTATTGACTTGGAGAAGACTTATGATAAAATACCAAGGAATGTTATGTGGTGGGCTTTGGACAAACATAAAGTCCCAACGAAGTATGTCGGGCTCATTAAGGATATGTACAACAATGTTGTGACTAGTGTTCGAACAAGTGATGGAGACACGGATGGCTTCCCGATTAGGATAGGACTACATCAAGGGTCAGTTTTGAGCCCTTATCTGTTTGACTTAGTGATGGATGAGGTCATAAGGGACATACAAGGGGACATCCCTTGGTGTATGCTTTTCGCGGACGATGTAGTGCTAGTTGATAAAAGTCGGACATGAGTGAATCATAAACTGGAGTTATGGCGGGAGACTTTAGAGTCCAAAGGTTTTAGACTCAGTAGAACTAAAACTGAGTATATGAGATATGACTTCGGCACTACTACTCGGGAGGAGGAAGATATTAGTTTGAAAGGTCAAGTAGTGCCACGGAAGGATACCTTTCGATATTTAGGATCAATGCTACAGAGAGACGGGGATATTGAAGAAGATGTTAGCCATAGAATCAAAGCAGGGTGGATGAAGTGGCGCCAAGCATCTGGTGTCCTATGTGACAAAAGGGTACCACAGAAGCTAAAAGGCAAGTTTTATAGAACGACGATTAGACCTGCTATGTTGTATGGTGCAGAATGTTGGCCTACGAAAAGACGACATGTTCAACAGATAAGTGTCGCGAAAATGCGTATGTTGCGTTGGATTTATGGTCATACAAGAAGGGATCGAGTTCGGAACGATGATATACGTGATAGATTAGGGGTAGCACCAATTGAAGAAAAGCTTGTCCAACACCGGTTGAGATGGTTTGGACATGTCCAACGGAGACCTCCAAAGGCACCGGTGCGTATTGGAATCCTAAGCCAGGATAGTAACGTGAAGAGAGGCAGAGGAAGATCGAAGTTGACTTGGGTAGAGGCAATAAAAGAAGACTTGAAAGGATGGAATATACCTAAAGACTTAGCCTTAGATAGGAGTGCTTGGAAAACAGCTATTCACGTGCCTAAACCTTAATTGTTTCTGCTGGGTTTCAACCCTAGCCTACCCCAACTTGTTTGGAACTTAAATGCTTTGTTGTTGTTGTTGTATATGAAGTTAAAAAAACCTTGTACAAGTAACAAAAAATTCTTTTGAGTATTGCCTTCAATTAAAGAGTTGGCTTTCACCACACGCTGGCTAAAATTGTTCCTGCAGTTGCTGTTCTTATTCCTGAACTCTAAACAGCGAGTTCATTTGAACAAACAATACCTTGGCAGCCTCCGGAAAGAGAAGGATTTCCCTCGTAACCTTGAGAGCAGTTGCGAAGGTACCCTGGCCCATTGCTTGCACTCAGACAGTAGCTGTTGGCACTGACACAAGCATAGTCTTTAGGTGCTTTTGCCCCATCTTTTGGACAGGATCCGTTTCTAATGGCGCAGTCACCGACAACCGGAACACCTCTCTTTGCTCTTTCCTTTATGAACCTAAGGTGCCCGACAAGGTCCTGCCTCCTGAAGCTGTACCACCCGTCCTCAACAACCATCGAATAGAAGCATGGATTGAAACTCCACACACGGCTCTGGTTGTACAGTAGCGCTGCGAAGTCGGTGAGGTTGGGGGATATGGTGGTCTCACAGCATCCCATCCCAGCGCATGGTGCTCCGTCAGATGTACTGTTGATGCCTTGGCAGTATGAGTAGCAGCCAGTCACATAAATGTCTGAGTTGCTGTATGTGTTGCCGCCAATGAGCCCCAGGGTATTGCATCCGATGGCCATGAAGCGGTTGCGGGTGGAGGGGATGAATGGTGTGTTCTCCAGGCTGAATCCGGCAGTGGTGTTGTCTGATATGGTGGTGTTTGACGTGAAGCAGTAGTAGCTGACATCGCCGTAAACACGCACCTCACCATGCTCCAGGGAGATGTCGATGACCTCTACAGCACTGGAAGGGTCACCAATCATAGGCCTTGGTGGCTGGAAACTGTCCTTGCAGGTCACAGTAAAGTAGCGGTTCAGGTTGCCTGCAGCACAGCCATCACCGATGCCAAAGGGGTAACCGGGTAAGGGATGGACACATTACCACACTTGTCAGGGCACCCTGGCAATGATATGGCAAGCCCAGAAGAGGTGTCTGGCACTGTCACCATGAAGGCAATGAGAACCAGGAGGATTAATGCTTCTTCCATGGCTAGAGAGGTATGATGGTTGCTTGCTATTGCGTTGTCTTTCTAACTACCTAGCTAAGCCGGTGCTCTGATGTATACCATGCTGGGCCAGATGTTATATGGAAACAGTTGTAGGTTATGATGTGCTTGCACATATTTGACTAGGCTATCCCTTTCAGATGTATGAAAGCTGCTGCTGATGCATTGAAATTGATGGATCTGCTGCTAGTTTTGACGATTGGTAATTAACTAATATAGTTGAGTTAGCATTAAGCTAAAGACTTTGACTGGACTTATATAACTGTATAATGTTGTACTGTTTGTAGAAGATTAGAATTGAGGGCAATTGGCCACACACCATACCAGGTGGGGCGCCTCTATTTATAGCCGCATAGGCTTGGTATACAGGTTACAATCTGATTTACAAGGAAGGAATAATCCTCCCAATAGCTACCAAATCAGGGCAGGTTTTATCCTATTTATAGACCTGCCTAATATACAACGGACAGCATATTCTATTGCCTAATACTGTTCAAAGTTGAAAATGGTCCGATCTGATATTCGAATATACAGATGTCAAAACCGTATCTGGTTAAGAAGCTCCTCTGAAATTGCAAAGGGTGACACTTATTGGTTTGTTAAATCAAAATCTTATCTGGTTCGGTTAAGAAGCTCCTCTGAAATTGCAAAGGGTGACTCTCATTGGTTTGTTAAATCAAAACCTTATCTGGTTAAGAAGCTTCTCTGAAATTGCAAAGGGTGGCGCTTATTGGTTTGTTAAATCTGGAAAAGCTATCTCCGGTTTTGAGCCCCCACTCATATTATTACGGAGAATCCTTGTTTTATGTCTTTGCATCTGGTAATAAGTATGAAAGCATGCCTAATCTTCTCGAGGAATTTGAAGCCTTTGTGCGCGATATCATACTGGATCAAATAAGCAATGAAGGATTGACTTGGAAACTTGAGAGTTGAGACAGCTTAGGCGCCAACAAAGGCGAAGGATAATCATGTTTGGTTGACCATTTTGTCTTTGGATAAGTATATCTTTAGGCCTGAAGCCATCCCATGTCTCTTTGTTTATTACGATGATCTGACTCTTTGATCTTCTGTTCTCATGCAGGCCCCGTTCGTTTGGCTGAATTTGACTGAAAAACACTGTTCTGTCTGAATCGTTGTGAGAGAAAAACGCTGTTTTGGCTGAAAAAAGAAGCCGAACAAGCCGACTTTTAAGGTTAGCCGAACGGGGCCGCAGTTCTCACGGGCATAAAAAAAATCCGTCTGTGTTTGAGAAGTGCAGCTTCTCACGGGCATAAAAAAAATCCGTCTGTGTTTGAGAAGTGCAGCGGAGTCCGGTTCCATGTTTCCGTGGTGCTGGGGAGAGTGTTTCGTTCTGAACTTCTGATCACGTCTTTGTTTGGGCACCTGAAGCTGGAGCGTGGTGAACCAAAGGTACAATTACAAAGGTTGGGGCTATCCTATGAAACACTGCTGCTGCTAGGTTGCAGCAGACCGTAGTAGCAACAACAGCGGTAAGCACCCAGCAGTCTAGACTTGTCTAGTCATCTACCACCCTCTGTTCATGCCTTCATGGGTTAGACCCAAAAAAAACAACGGATACCGCTGTCACATACACGCATGGTACTGTTCACTACTCTTGGTCGTTGTGGGCGGGAACTTAAGAAGAAGAACCTCCAACGATTGAAAGAACCTATTGGCCTAGTCGGCCCAAGCCCACAGCGATGGGTCTTGTTCACGATGGGCCAGAACCAGAATACAGATGGGCCGGAGGGCTGTTCTCTAGTGGTCACGATTGCGACGAGACGGACCGCGGCCACGCGCTTCGCTTGGGCTCCTCTGGTAGGCCCGGGCTCGCTCACATCGCCGGCTCCAGAGGTGTTGGCCGGGATTTTTTTTTAATTTTAACACTTTTTAAAACTAATTTTAAATTTAACACGAGCGGTTTTTTTTAACTAACATTTTTGGTCGCGCCTATTGTCCTGGCACGGCCAAATGCCTGTGCCGCGCCATGCATGGTGGCGCAGCAGAGGTCTGATGTGGCGACGACCGGAAACACATTCACGACGTGGCGAGGTCTGCTGCACGCCACCGATCTTGGCGCGAAGCCAAATAAATATCGCAAGCGAGCGCCTGCCCATGCTGCCCCCAAATAAATATCGCGACGAGCCCCGCCCAAGACGCACCTCTATGCCTGCCGCCACCAAGACGCGCCGCCTCGCCTCACACTCCTCATGCCAAGCAATGCCTTCAAACATGCCAGCGCCACCAACGCCGTCCGCTCCTAAGGTACATCCCTCTTGATTTCATGTTATTTTGATTATTATTGTTTTAGGATAATTAGTGATTTAGGATAATTAGTAATACAGGATAGTTAGGGTTTTATGATTGTTATTGATTTATGATAGTTAGTGATTTAGGATATTTAGGATGGTTAGGTTAGTGAATTTGTTTGTGATTTACGTAGGTAGTTTTTAGTTTGAGGTTAGGATTTTGGGTTTAGGGATTGATTAGGTATTTATTATTTAGTTTATAGTTAGTTATTTAGTTAGGGATTTTGGGTATAGATATTAGTTTTCAAATGTCGGTATTTACTTGTGCGTGATACGTCGATTTTGATGACTTTATGAAGTTTCGTTAAATGCTTATATTACTAGTGAAGTTGTTTATGTTACTAGTGCGTGATATGTCTGTTAATTTTACTTTTAATATATACATGTGCTTTCATATTGCATAACAAGTAGTTCAAATTTTACAATGCTACATAATGTTAATTTGAATACTCTAACGCTTTGTTTATCAATTTGTAACATGATGGCCCCTCCCACGCAGCACCCGTTGTACCCCATTCTTGAGGTGGAGTACGACGACCAGCACCGAGCACACATCTTGAGTGACAACGACGCAGAGGTGGCCTTGCCTCCTTTGAGGCCCCACACACACACCAGGACGCACTAGTGGGATGAGCGTTATGCGCCGTACATACGGCGTGCCGGCTTCGTCGAGCTTGTCCGTGTTGTCAACCATGGTCTTCCGCCCCTTGATCCAACACTATTTACTGTAACTGTAGATAGGTGCGAGTGCATCATTTGTACGTATACTTTCTTGTAACAAATTTGAGGCAACTAACAGTCGTTCTATTCTTATAACAGGTGGAGGCTTGAGACCCATACGTTCCACCTACCTTGTGGCGAGATGACCTTGAGCATGCAGGACGTGAAGGCTATTTTAGGGCTTCGGTTGGGGGGGACTTCCAGTGACAGGGATAGTTGACAACAATCACTGGAGGGAGCTGGTGGCTCAGTTTACTGGCTTTCTTTCACCGGACGACGAGCCTTCCAAAAAAAATAAGTGAGTAATTCAAGCCTATTTAATACTTGCGTTGCTTTTCTGCAGCCATCGGGTCTCATTTTCTTTGGTCAATTTCAGGAAAAGTTCTGGTGTTTCGTAGTCCTGGATCACAGAGCGCTTTGATTACTTGGACCCACAGGCTGAGGAGGCTCTAATCGACAGTGTAACGTCCCACCTCTCCGAGGCTAGGCCCGCTTACATCTGGCAGCTTAACTAGGATATAGATTGCCCTCACAGACCAACACTTGTCTTTTCTGCACACTTTGTCCTCACTCGTGCGCACCCGGGAAGAACTTCCCGGACGGTCACCCATCGCTCCAGGCCAAGCATGCTTAACCTTGGAGTTCTTAAGAGATGGGCTTCCAGAAAAGAAGTTGCAACTTGTTGGTACGAGTATCCTATTAATCCTATTAAGCCCTGAGCCGGGGTGTTACAGACAGGTTCGCTCGAGTGTGGCTCTAGCACTTTCTTGGTGCTTTCCTCTTCCCAAACGCCTCGGGCAACACCATCAGCTGGATCTTTCTTGACATACTACGCCAGCCGTGGGAGAACATAGCGGCGTACAGCTGGGGCAGCGCAGTCCTAGCATGGACGTATCGACAGCTATGCGTTGCTTGCCGTCGCACCTCAGATGGGGCAGCGTAGTCCTGGCATGGACGTATCGACAGCTATGCGTTGCCTGCCGTCGCACCTCAGGATATGCGAACCTTGGGGGTTGCTCCTACCTAATCTAAGTTTGGTGTTGGGAACGATGACCCGTTGGGAGGCCCCTTAATAATGGTTTACCGGTAAGATACTTGAATGGTACGATTTGTTATCCTTTTGGTATTAAGTATGCGTAATAAAACTGTTCAACCGCGTTTCTGTACCCAGACGACACAATTATCAAGGCTGTCCAACGAAGCAGCGTTTCGACTTCACGAGTCTAGAGGGCAGAGGCCAGACGTTCTCGCGGCTTTTGTGGAGGTAAACATAAACTTGTCCGTTCCAAAAATATTTCTTTAGTGTATATGCATTTGGAAAATACACTAACTTTAACGTCTATTTATGCAGAAGGTGAAGAAGAGCTGCAGGAAGCTAGCTCAGAAGCGGAGCTGTATGGACACTCCTTATGAGGAACCGCCACTCCCGACGCGGTCGGGTGACACGTCTTCAGCCTCTTTGAGGACACCAGCCGACTCTTCTCAGCCGATGACAGGTGCCACTTCCGTGGTGTGTACACCACCACATCATAGCGCTGGAAAGGACCCTGCAACGGAGGACGACGACGACGACCCCCCGGGCTTCCGCAGACAGCATGACCAGTGGGACGATTGGCCGTAGGACGAGATCGACATGTCTCAGCTAGGTGGTGTCCCGCTTGGTACCCAAGGAGCCTCACAGGTACTAACAAAGGTAGTTTCTTTAAATACGTATGCTCCATGAACTAACGATCATAAAGAATTATAAGTAATCGTGCGTATCATATACTTGCAGGGTACGAGCCGTACGCACCATTGACGCGACCATACCGACATTGGCTACACTCCCAATGTGTTGCCAACAAATCCAAAGAGACAGAGGTGTCTGAGGGATCCTTACACTCCTGAGTCTTAGTTTGTTAGGTCGAACTATTATTGGCGTCCGAAACTTGCAGGCTAAGTTGGTTATGCTATGTCGAACTTATGTCAAAACAATGAAAATGTTATGTGGCAGGTTGTGAACTTACGCACGGACTTCATTTATTTGCTCCATATTCGTTTCTATGCGTCGTGGCAGCACTGCCGTCATGATTAGCTTTCCCGGCGTCCCAAGATACTAAACAACAGATGAGCACCGAATAACAATTGAGGAACAGATTATATATCCCCACAACTTGAAGATCATCCACTAGGAATCCAGGATCGTAGCTTTATAGTTGCATTTCTATCTATTCTATGCAGCTGAAAAGATAGACAGGGAGAAGGAGGCCAGAAGTCGAAAGCATCTGATGAACTTCCATGATGAGTGCGCACGTATATATCCTATGAGTTGTTAAGGAGCAACACCACGAGTCCACGAGTGCTTGTGATCGATTGATTCACCTATAATTAATGTGAGAGGCGTGTAAGGGGGAACTGAAGACCAGTCATTACGGTGGTTAATATGGGCGGCCGTTGAAAGAAAAAACACATGAAACAAACATCTGAAACGCGAACATTCGGTTGCAAAAGGCTCGTCAACACGGAGCTCGACGCCGACGTAGAGTTCGATGCCATGGAGTGACGGGGTGGTCGCCGGTGCAAAGTTCATTGGTGGCACAGGCCTCGGTAGTGGCCGCAATAGGTGGATAGGCGCGTGGCCGCGGCGAGTGGCGTAGTTCCAAGCATGAGGCACGGTGGAGGCGGTAAACCGTCTAGGAACCGCTGCGCCAAGATAGGTGACGCGGCAGGCCCTATCACGTCAACGGTCGCGATTCCGGTCGTCGCCATGTCAGCTAGCTGCAGCGCCACCATGCATGACGCGGCACAGGCATTTGGTCGCGCCAGGGCAATAGGCGCAGCAAAAAATGTTAGTTTAAAAAAAACCCGGCCTCGTGTTAAGATGTAAAATTAGTTTGTAAAAAGTGTTAAAATTAAAAAAAATCTTGGCCGGCGGGCGGCTTCGGCGAGGAGCGGGGTGGCGCCGTGGCGGTGGCGGACGGCGGACCCGCACCCAGCCGGCGCCGCGCATCTCCGCTCCCATTTGCGCCTGGCTTTGCCCCTTCTCAGACAAGCTCGACGACCCCAGACCTCGACCCGACCTTGCAAGCTGCTCCTGCACCTCCCTCCTCTGCGCCCTCTCAAGTCAGCACTAGTGTGGTCCTAACTCGTAAGTCCGTCCTTACTCGAATAATCATCAGCTGCTATGTTGCGAGAGTGGACGACCCGAATTAAGTCCTCAACTCCTACCTTGTATTAGGCTCTTCATGTTCCTATCTTTTTTGTATTTATTTACCTTTTGTTTTTCCTGCTGTTATGTACTCCTACTTCTTTTACGGTTGTTCCTGTTTGTGCGAAGCAATAATACCAATACCTGGATTGTTCTCAGCAGTTTTCTGGGCATGAAGTGGAACCTTTGTATCGGCCTGTTGGGTTATTACTGATTTCAAATTTTATGAATTTATGGTTAGCTCTCCAAAATTCCTTCTTCGCTATCGTTATTAGTACTATTATTACTAGACCCTTTTTTTTGCACCTTTTCACTCATATCGTTATCAATACTATTATTATTACCTCTGCATTCGAACCAATAGGCCTAGTTGACAAGAAGAAAGTAGGCACCCAAATTCGCCTCGACCAGGACTTGATGGTTTGGGTATACATCCACACCCTGGAGCCCTGGACAAACTGAGCTTACCCCATGACTCTTGGTAGGTTTCATATTTAGCTTACCTCAACTTAATGTACGAAAAAGGCTTTGTTTTTGTTATTGACAATTCGTTAAGCGGTATCTAAAAACAATGTTTTTTTAGGCGCTATGCGTTTTCAAGGCGGTGACCCCTCACCTAGCGCCTAGGCGTGCCTAGGCGCGCCTAGGCGTTTTCTAGGCGTTTTTCCCTTTTTGTATTTCAGCATATATATAGCTGAATAAATTATATAAATAATTAAATATAGTAGCAGAGTGAATTGTATAAAAGGAGATAAGGTCCAATAGACATACCTTAGTTGATACAAAAGTGACATTCATGCTTAGTTCATACATTGATACATAGTTGATAGTTCATACAATACAAATGTGATGTTCCTACAGCAATACAATGGACCATATCAGTAGTTAAATACAAATGGACAGCAGACCATATGAACAATACAAGTTAAAAGATACAGGTTAGATACTTATCTGAATGATCTTAGCCTTCTCCTATCCATCAGACATTATCAGCACTCAGCAGCAAAGGAAAGCCATTTCAGAACACAAACATGTAGGGATAACAGTAGCAGCAAAGAAAATTAAATGCATAGCAGACCAGTAGGACAATACAACACATACTCCCATCCCACATCATCTGAATTCCTTTTCAGGACATTCACTTCCTCCGGAGCAACTTCTTGCTCCGACATTCTACACGAAGAGAATGCAGAGGCATATGAAACTATAATTCTACAAACATGCAAAGGCATATAACAACAATTCAAGAAATTAAGCTGCAATCTACAAACATGCAGATAGTAGGTACACAACAGACATCAATCATTCAGATTTCAGGCATATTAGATAGCAGATGTTAGTACATCACAGATGCAGATAATAGATGCTAGATACAGAGCAAGAACAGCAGGCATTCAGGCATATTATATAGCATCAACCAGATCTCCAAAGGTAGTAGGTAAACAGCAGCAGCACACAGGCACACCGCACACAGCAGAACAGCACAGGCGTACAGAGCAGGAAGATGGAAGGGAGCAGTCGAGCAGAGGAGAGAGGAGCAAGGGGTGGGCAGACCTCACCTTGGGCTTGTGGAAGGCGGCGACGAGGACCTCTGGACTCAGTGACTCCCTCCCCTGGTGGGCTCGAGGAGGAGCTCTGGACTCGCCTCCACCCTTCCCTGCAACGAGCCTCGGTGGGACACCGGACTCGCCGGTGCTACGGGTGGCGGCCGGCAGGAGAGATGAAGACCGACGGCAGATAGCAGTGAGGATCTCCTTCTCCTATTCTCCTCTCTCTCTCTCTCTCTATGTCTCTGTCTCTCTCTAATCCTTTCTATAGGCACCGGCGCTCTGCTCTTTTCCTTCCCGCGCAGCCGCTTTCTTTCCCGCGCTGTCCCCGCTCTCGCGCGTGCGCGCTCCCGCCCGCGAAAACAGAGTCCCGCGCCCGCGCGCTCCCGCCCAGCCGCCGCCTCGTCCGTCTACTCGCCGCCCAGGCGCCGCGGACGCGTCGCGGAACACCGCGGAGGCGCGCGGACCGCCTAGATGTACGCCTACCCCCGTAGGCGCCGCGGTAGGCCTCCGCCCAGCGCCTAGTCGCGCCTAGGCGACCGTGGAATCTCGCCTTGCCGAACATTGTCTAAAAAGAGCATTTCTTATTGACATGGTACCTGATTTGGATTACTCTTTTTTTTTCTCCTATACTTGATGAAATGATGATGTTCTGCTCTGATGTTGTGACACTTGATGCTGTTAAGATTCCCCTTAAACAACATTTGCTCTGTGGAAGTAACCCATGATGTTTGTACCCTAAATGAACAACTGAACATTACTAGTAAGGCAGGCTTTCCTGCAAGAAACTCGCTTCAGATGAATTGTGCACACTGTGCAACTGACATGTTTCTGTGTGAGTAACTCACTTCTTTTCAGAGCCTGCATTAAACTAGCGCAGTCCATTAAATTGTATGGGGACTGGATACCCTAAAGTTAGGTCCTGGCGATTGCATATCTACTGGATCTGGTTCTATGATAAGGTATGCTGCTTAATCTGTCTGTTGAACTACAATTCAAAATGCTTCTCCCATGTATTTGTTTTCTTTGGTGATGCATTTTTAACGCTGTTTTACTTTGTCTTTCTACTCGTTTTTCTTTTGGTACAATAAGGTATTGCATACTGAATGAACTGCAAGTTCTACATTGAGGTTCCAATTTCCATGTAGCACCCAGCCTCTGTAAGGAAAATCATGGAATGCTGAACAATGTAGCATAAATTTGATTAAACGAACCTACATCAACTCATTTCTTGCATACACTTTATATATCCTAATCCAGTATGTTGAATCCTGGACCTAGAGGAAGTTTTTTTTCGAATTAATATGTAAAGAAAAGCCTTGGAATACTTTGACATGTAACCAAGTTAATTTAACACCCAAATAAAGTCTAACCTAAAACTAAAGATGCAATTAATTCTGACACATTGCAGAGACATTGCAGAGCATGAGTGATGATTTTTTATGTGCACACACACACAAATGTATAACCTGTACATACAACATTTTTTATGCATTACAAAATATAAACAAGTATACATAAAAAGGAAAACATTGCACATAGTTATCTTACAATGTCTACCTCCAATTCCAGTTTGGTTGTCTCCATGCTCTGGTATTCCGTCTCATCTGAAGGGACATATACTGATTGCTCTTCATAATAATGGTGTGCTTGAATAGGAGGTGTCTTTGTCACCTGCTGCATCTCGAGCCTTCTTAACATTTGTAGTCGCTCTGCAACTTCCTTCATCGTTGGCCTCTCATCTCCTTTTGGGCTCAGGCAGTGCATGACAAGTTCAGCTAGTTTCTGAAGTACTATCATTGTTTCATCATGTACTATTTCACTGTCCAAAATATCCCGGAGCTCATTCTGGTGGAACATCTGTATGAAAGTATGAGATAGTGCTCTCTTCTCATTAGAGGCATCAATGTATAAAGCCTTCTTTCTTGTCATTAACTCTAAAAGAACAACCCCAGAACTGTATACATCGCTTTTATCACTTAGATGGTGACTGACAAAGCTCTCAGGGTCAATATAACCAAGAGTTCCTTGGATAAGCATAATGAAATCATTTTTGTCCATGGACTTCAGTGCTGATGCTCCAAAATCTGAGACTTTTGCATTGTATTCTTCATCCAAGAGTATATTGAGGGATTTGACATCTCCACGTAGAATTGTGCGAGAAGTTGCTGAATGAATGTAGGCAAGAGCTTCTGCTCATTGTGTAGCAATCTTCAATCTAAGATCCAATGGGATTGGTGATCTGCTTTGATTGACATGAAGGAACTCAAAGAGGGTACCATTGGAAATGTACTCATACACCAACATCGTCACATCTATCTCCAAGCAGCATCCTAGTAACCTTACAATGTTCCTGTGGTTAATTTGTGATAAGATTATTATCTCATTCACAAATTCTTCTCTGCTGTCATCATCCTTTAGTTTGGACTTCTTTATGGCAACTTCTTTGTTATCATCTAAAGTTCCTCTGTAGACCATTCCATGACCATCACATCCAAGAACATTATCTTCACTGAAGTTGTCTGTGGCTTTCTTTATCTCGTTCTCTGAGAGTATGAGAACGGTATCAACTTGCCTTGATCTCATTTTATCATATAATCTTAGACCCCCATTTTGTTTGAAATATTCATCCTTCTCCTTCCTTATGCTTACTTTGTTGTAATTTCATAACCAATAAGCATGTCAAAGATATGACTAAACTGCAGACGCACTGAGACCTGCACAATGGTTACTCTATATGCTTGAGTGCTTCAAAACCATGAAAAAATTACCTTAGGTTTAAAATTTACTCTCAATTATGATCCTTACCTATAACTGCCTGTTCAGCTTTGCTAAGCACAGGTCGGCATCCAGAATTTGTACCATCTGATCTTGTTCCTATCCTGCACTTGCATATGTAGCCTCCTGGTGTATTGCGACAGCGCCCATTTTCACATGGATACAGTTTTTTGTACCTAACGTCCTGCTTACGCAGTTCGCACTCATCTATATCTGAACGAAGTTAGAATTTGAAAACATATTAATATGGATTTAGGAAAAATGCGAAGCAATCAGTGTATGAAGTTTCCTTAAGATATGTTGGACAAGTAACAAATAAGTTTTGATATCTTGAACTAGTAATTTTTTTAGCCCTGCTTGGCTCTAATCATGTGTTGGCTAGACTTTTTCTTGCAGTTGTTGACCTTGATTTCTAAATTCTAGTTTACAGCAAGGTTATTTGAGGAAATACTTACCATGGCAACCTTTGAGAAGATAAGGATTGCCCTCATAACCTATAGAGCACTTGCACAAGTATCCTGGACCATTGCTTGCATTCACACAGTAGCTGTTTGAACTGACACAAGCATAGTCTTTTGGTGCTTTTGCCCCATCCTTCGGACAGGAACTGTTTCTAATGGCCCAGTCATTGACGACAGGGACACCTCTAGGAGCTCTGTCATTGATGAACCCATGGTCGCCGATAAGGTCCTGGCTCCTGAAGCTGTACCACCCAGCCTCGACAAGCATCGCATAGGAGCATGGGTTGAAGTTCCATACACTGCTCTCGTTCATTGTGATTATTGGTATGAAGTCTGTGAGGTTGGAGGAGATGGCAGTCTCGCAGCATCCTGTCCCTGTGCACGGCGCCCCGTTAGATGTGCTGTTGATGCCTTCACAGTAGGAGTAGCAGCCAGCCACATGCAAATCAGAGCTGTTGTCCATGGTGCTGCCGATGAGCCAGAGGGTGTTGCAGCCAATGACTGTGAAATGGTTGCGGGTGGAGATGATGAATGGCGTGGTATCCAGTCTGAACCCAGTGGTGTAGTTGTATGATGTGGAGTTTGACGTGAAGCAGCTGTAGCTGACATCGCCATAAACATGGGCCTCGCCATGCTCCAAGAAGATGTCAATGACCTCTACATCTCTGGGAGAGACACCAAACATAGGTCTTGGTGGTTGGAAGCTGTTGTTGCATGTCAGAGCAAAGTAGGAGTTCAGGTTGGTTGCAGCACAGCTTGCGCCGATGTCGAAGGGGTAGGGAATAGATACATTGCCACACTTATTGGGGCACCCTGGCAATGATATGCCAAGCTCGGAAGGGGTGGCTGACACCATTGTCACCAGGAAGTTGATGAACAGCAGGATGAGTAAGGCTTCTTTCATGGCTATGGCCTAGGGGCTAGGGATGTATGGTGGCCGCTTACTACTGCAGTGTCTTTCTAGCTTCCTAGATAAGCCAGTGCTCTCTTATGTTTCATTTCTATGATGCAGTTATATATGCTATAGATCATCATATATAAGGTTGAGTGGAAGTAGATGTAATTCAGATTCCTTTTCAGATGATGTATGCTGCTGCTGATGCATTGAATTGTTATATGTGCTGTTAATTTACTCGATTGGTGATTAACTGGTGTAGGCGTGGTATCGATGTTAAAACTGAGATTTATAATGCTTTACCCATCCAAAGTTGAGAAGACATAATATAGTTTGTTATATCTGGAGAAGTCAGCTACAATTTAGAGGCTAATCCATGTCAAACAATCCTTGTTTCCAGTCTCATCGTATGAGTTTTATCTGATGAATATGAAAGCATGCCTTGTCTTCTTGAGGGGTCACTGTAGCTGACTTCCTCTGCAATAACAAACTGGATGAAATAAGCAATAATGCATCGACTCAGAAAAGCTGAGACAGCTTACATGAAAAGGAAGTTGAAACATTTGTATATTTGTTTGATCGTTCATATCTTGTATGGATTGGTAATTCATCGTACATAGTTAGGGCTTGAATCCGCCGCAATTTATTTTCTTCTTTGCAAAGCCACCGTGTGTTTTGACTCATCGATGTGTTTGACTGTTTGTTTCCATGCATCTCTCGCTGACGGCATAATAAGAAACAAAAAACGTACTATGTATATGTATATCTGCATCTGTCTTTTCGTGGATGACACGCGATGACACATAAATGAGACGTTCCATCTATAAATAATTCTTTGCATTTAGCACAAAGGGATTCCCATCAGATTTTTTTCCAAATGAAACTTTGTAGTTTTCACAAATTTAAATGCAGCTATTTTCTCATTGTAGTTTTCTGAAGAATTAGCCTTTAGCACTTAGCCAGGCTAATATGCAACTTACTGCTGGAAAAAAACATGTTGGTAGTATGAAAGTTTCGAACCTCGTGGTCGTTCTTTTTTCCTTAGAGGAACTAGATGTCATATACAGTGATTATTTTAGATGTAAACCAATGTTCTGATCAATGTTGTTTACCCAATTTAGGTTGAGGTGGAATTGCAGAACTTATTGGAGATCGAGTGCTGGAGCAGGAGAAAGGTAAGTTAACATGGTTTGGAATCGAGTTATTATAAATAAAGTCAAGTTCATGTCCAGTGATGGTTTAGCAAATATGTAAACTGTCGGCCATAAGTTATAAAAAAAAACTGTCGGCCATATAAACTGAACTTTTAATGCATCAATGAAGTTAACTGATCTGTTTTTTTAATCTTACCTACAATTTTTGTTAACTTATTATGGTGGCAAGGTATAGAGTTTAAAAAACATCATAGAAACTGTTAGGAGTGAATGAACTCAATGCATTCCGGTGGGCTTCAGCCCAAACGTGTACATGGGCATATATGCATAGAAGCCCTTACACAAAGAGAAAATAGCAAAGACACCTATACATCTATATCTAACACCCCCCTTCAAACTCAGGGTGGATCACGAAAATTGAGTTTGGAGAGAAAGAAACGATGCTGAGCTCTTGTCTGTGCCTTTGTGAAGAAGTCAGCCAACTGAAGCTCAAGGCACCTAGCGAAGAGTAATGACATCATCTTGCACTTGTGCTTGAGTGTGTAAGACGCATCAACACCGATATGCTTGGTGAGGTCATGCTTCACCGGATCACGAGCTATCTTGATAGCACCAAGATCTTGTCATACAAAGAGGAGTTAGCACGTGAAACTAAAACACCAAAATCCTCAATTAGCCATCGCAACCAAGTAACCTCTCATCTGTCATTGAAGAGCCATAGCTCATAACTCAACCCTCTGCCTCTCGATCGAGAAACAGCGGTATGCTTCTTAGTCTTCCAAGCAATGAGAGAACCACCGAGAAAAACACAATAGGCTAAAAAGAGAGCGATGATCGGAAGAGTCACTAGCCCAAGTAGCATCGGAGTAGGCTTAGAGTTGAAAAGAGCTAGGCGTGGAAAGAACAGAGCGGTGAGTAATGGTCCCACGAAGGTAACATAAGACAAGAAGAAGATGACTATAGTGGAGGTGAGTGGGAGCGAAATAAACCCGACTAAGAATGTGCACGACATATGAAATGTCGGGACGAGTCAGTCACACCTAAATAGACAAGACTCCCAACAATATGACGATATCGAGTGGGATAAGTGAGAGGAGAGGTCACCATCATTGTGCGAAGATGAAGATTAAGCTCTATGGGAGTCTCAACGGTCGATGATCGGTGAGGAAGAACGATCAAGAAGATCTTGAATGTACTTTTCTTGGGACGGATAAATGCCATCGAGGTTGAAGAGACCTCAATCCCAAGAAAAAGTAACGAAGAGGGCCAAGATCGGACATGAAAGCGCTCAACGAGAGCGCGCCTTCACAAATGCAATATACTCAGAATCATCACCAGTGATGAGCATATCATCAACATAAAGAAGAAGAAGAGTGAGGCCACGAGATGAATTATGAACAAACAAGGCAGGGTCATGAGCACTCGGAAAAAAAACCAACATCCGCGATCACAGAGGAAAAGCGCTGAAACCAAGCGCGAGGAGCTTGTTTCAGTCCATAAAGAGAGCGACGAAGACGACAAACGATGCCATCAGGAACAAGATACCCAGGAGGTGGTCGTATGTAGACCTCCTCATGGAGTTCACCATTAAGAAAGGCATTTTTGACATCGAGTTGAGAAATGGACCAGGCACAAATAGAGGCCACCGCAAGGAGAGTGCGAATAGTGGTCATGTGAGCCACAGGAGCAAAGGTCTCATCATAGTCGCGACCATGCTCCTGTTGAAAACCACGAGCAACAAGATGGGCCTTATAATGCTCGAGAGAGCCATCTGAGCGAGTCTTAATCTTATAAACCCACTTACACGTGATGGGACGAGCATGAGAAGGAAGAGGAACAAGATCCCAAGTGCCGGTCAAGGCTCTAGAGCAACAATCTCCTCGGCCATGGCATGTTGCCATTCGGATGACAAATGGCATCATGGTATGTGGCGGCTCGAAAAAAAAAGTGCAAAGAAAACCATACCGGTTTGTAGGCTTTAGCGACCCACGATCACGAAGATCATAACGAGAGGATGGCCGAGAAATATCCATGAATCAAGATGTCTCAACCGGAGGTGAAACATCGAGAGCGCCTCAACAGGAGGCGAGGATTACAGGCGTATTTAATCAGGGTGTGAATCACGGGGGTTTGGAATCATAAATGGACCTAAAAGGAACATGTGAAGGCGGTTGAGAAGGCAGCGAAGGAGAGGGTGCAAGAGGAGATGGTGGAGAAGAAAGAAACACAGTGGAGATAGGTGTATCAGGAAAGATCAAGAAGGAAAGAGGCTCAACTACGGTCTAGGGAGAAACATCAGAGGTAGGTCGAGGATAGTATGAGCGAGACTCGTCAAAAGTAACGTCCCGAGAAATCCACATCGACGGCGGCGGCGGGTCTCTCAACAACGATATCTCTTGTGTTTCACACTATAGCCTAGCCAGAAAAACACTCAGCAGTTGAGATGTCGACTTAGTGCGTTCACGAGGAGCAAGAAGGACATAGCAAAGACACCCAAAAAGACGAAAGATCGGAAATCTAGTGGCTTGCCATAGAGGCGCTCATATGGGATTTCGCCTTGAAGAGCAGATGAAGGCTGAATATTAGTTAAATAAGTGGCAGTGGATATCGCATCAGCCCAAAAATGAGGTGGAACAGAGGAAGCAATCATAAGAGCACGAAAGCGACTTTCAAGAAGGTGGCGATGTTTACGCTCAACAACAACACCATTACGGCGTGCGCACCGGGACAAGAAAAGCGAGAAAGAGTGCCCTCGAGAAAAGAAATTGGCGAAAGCTTTCAGAAGATACTCCCAAGAGAGTCGACGAAAAAAATGAATAGGAGTGTCAAATTGAGTACAAATCATCTCGAGCAAATATCTTATATATGGATAACACCTCATTACGATGTTTCATGAAATACACCCATGTGAAGCGAGAAATCATCGATAAATATGACATAATATTGATGACCCCTTTTGAAACGAAGGTGCGGGACCCCATACATCGTAATGAACAAGGTCAAAGGACGCTGTGACAACCCCACTAGAGGGATATGGAAGTTGGAGCTGTTTTGCAAACCTTCGTAACCACGACATCTAAAGAAACATCACCAAAAACATTCCCCAAAAGACCACGACGGACAAGAGTGGATAACCGGGAACCATATAAATGTCCCAATCGATGATGCCACTGAGCAAAAGGTGAAGAAGCCGATGTAGGAGAAGCAGAGCCCACAAGAGGCGGCCTTTAGAAGCGGCGGAAGGAAGATCAAGAGCCAGCGATCAAGTTCCCAAAGACGCTGAGAATCACGGCGGCGAGGGCCAGTACCAACTAGAAGACCCGTGCTGAGATCCTGGACACGACAAGAATCATAATAAAAAATAACACGACAACCATGATCAGTGAGCTGGCCAGCAGAAATAAGTTGCATGGTTAAATTAGGGACATGAAACAGTAGGAACATGAAAAGAGGAGGACAAAAGAGTGCCATGTCCAAGAACAAGGAGAGGTGAGCCATCGGCGGTCTGAACAATGATAGGAGTAGAAGGAGGACGAATGGAAGAAAGACTGGTATAATCAGAGGTCATGTGAAAAGAAGCACCAGAATCAAGAATCCATGGCAAAGTACACAGAAGTGAACGGTGGTTGCCTAGTGGAAGACCGTGAGGCAAAGGCAATCAAACCAAAGGTGCGAGACTAGGGTGACAGAACTTGCGGCAGCTCCAGCAGTAATGAGAGGGAGCTAGCCGACTTGGCTCTACAACATAAGTATCTCCTGTGTCTCGAAACCAGGCAAGCTACTCGAAGAGGTCCAACAGAGAGAACGATCGAGAACCACCGAGGGGCGACCACCTCGGCATGAATGAGCCTTCTC